CAGCATTCCTATTTCTCTCATCTTACTTCTAAACTTCTGTTTCTCTTATCCCTGCGGCTTCCCGGCGCCTCGCCCTGCCGGCAGCTTCACGGCTCCGCGCGGCTTCCCGGCGCCTCGCCCCGCCGGCTCTGAGCCGCTTCAGCCCGCGCCTCGGCTTTGCGAGGCTTGGCTTCGCGCGCTCCGCGGTCTCCACGCCCTTCGCGTCTGCACCACGGCCTCGCGCCAGCCCCGCGTTCCCTATTTATTCACGCCCCGTGCTCTCTCTGCACGCGGCGGCTTCCGCGAATGTTTCCGCCACCACCGGCATTCAGTCCAAGTTCCCCGGACTAACCTGGCGAATCCTGGCGGCCCACGTCTCTGCCTCTGGTTCCAGATCTTCGCCTCTTGCTCCCCGGGGTGACTTGAAGAATTCCAAGGTGGCTTATATCTCCGCCTCGGCCTGCACTCGCGGCTTCATCCTCCCTAACATTTTTCTCTACCCGGTATGTTTCTTTAAGTTTTCTTCCAACAATATTCCTCTCATTTCTCCTGGCTACTCCCCACAGTCCGTATCCGAGTCCAAGCCTCCTCCAGGTTTCACTTTCGCTTTCAATCTCCTAGCTTCCCCGCCATAGTCCGCATCCGAGTCTATGAAAGCTTTCACTTTCGCTTTCAATCCTAACTTCTTTCCCACAGTCCATATCCGAGTCTATGCCTAGGCTTTCAATAGCTTCTTCCGGCACCCTTTTCGTCCGGCTTTTCCCTAGGCTGTTTGCTAGTCTCTCTCTCCGGTAATTTCCCATTTCTTCCCGTTTCTTCCCTCCTAAGTTTGCTATCCGAGTCACGGCACCATTATGTCGCTCCCCCTCTTCATGGAGGAACGACACTAAACCCTGCCTAGGCTTCATATCCGAGTCACGGCACCATTATGTCGCTCCCCGTCTTCGTGGGGGAACGACACTAAACCCTGCCTAGGCTTCATATCCGAGTCACGGCACCATTATGTCGCTCCCCCTCTTCGTGGAGGAACGACACAGGACCCTGCGCTGTTCTTTCGTCTGCTCGGCCCTCCCCGGGTTTGCTGCTGGTTCTTCCCGGGTTGGCTACTATCCCTTCCACCTCCGTGGAAGGGCAGTTCCCCCTGGCCGCATTCCCCACTTCCGCAGGGGAGCGGCACACCGCCGGCTGGCTCTCTTCGGGGGCTGCACAGGTGTTCCCCTTCGATGTTCCTCGTGCATGCTGTCTCTCTCCTCCTTTATAGTCCTCCTCCGCCAATCCCAACTCGGCTGCCCACACGCCGAGTACGCTGCTCTCCTCCAATCAGTAGCAAGTCCTACAGTTTATTGGTTGAACTGGAGGCAGCTGTGCGGAAGCTATTTACTTCTCTCCCAGCGCCATATTGTGGGAGAGCAGATGCATAGAATAAGTCTTAATTCCAGTAACTCAGTCTAGTCCGGTTTGCTCCCCACAGTGGGAGAGCAGATGCATAGAATAAGTCTTAATTCCAGTAACTCAGTCCAGTCCGGATTGCTCCCCACACCTGCGGTGCCCGGCACCCCGGGTTCTAGTCCCGGTTGGGGTGCCAGTCCAGTCCAGCACTCTGCTGTGGCCCAGGAAGGCAGTGGAGGATGGCTAGCTAGCTAGCTCATTTCTGTCCCTTATGCTTTATATATCTAAAGAGGTAAAAAATATTTTCATCTATTTGCTTAGCCCTGTGAGATGAAAGAATGCAAGAAATTTCCCTCTATTCTCAAAAAGTATACAACTGGATCAGAACTATCATCTTGGTGAGATGCATAATTACAAGCAAAACCAAAGTATGCATAATGAAATGAACCAGTTTGTTTACCTCATGATCATCTGTCATGTATTTTCTTCTTTTCAGATCTCAAGCTCCAGAGAGGCCAGGACCTTGTTGCAGTCATCCTGGCACTTGGCACACAGTATTCTGCACATTTAGACATGCTCAACAAGTGATATTTGAGGATAAGTGTTAATTTACATCCCCCTCCCTCTCCTAACAACAGTTTTAAAGTATGCATTATTTTGAAATAAAAAATGTTATTTGGGTTTTGTTTAGTTTAGCAAATGTTGGATTGCAGTGCTGTTATACACCTTTAGTCTTTATATATTTAAACACCATGCTTAATACATTGCCTTCATCAATAGTGTCATAAGGTGTATTCTTTCTGTTATCACCTATTTTTTCCAAGGTCACTTTAAAATAAATTTTAGAATGTCTATTCTAATCTCTACTCGAAATCTTATCCATTTTATAATATTTTACTGTGTATTTTATTTATTTATTTTTATTTTTTGACAGGCAGAGGCAGTGAGAGAGAGACAGAGAGAAAGGTCTTCCTTTGCTGTTGGTTCACCCTCCAATGGCCGCCATGGCCAGCGCGCTGCGGCTGGCGCAGCGCGCTGATCTGATGGCAGGAGCCAGGTACTTCTCCTGGTCTCCCATGGGGTGCAGGGCCCAAGCACTTGGGCCATCCTCCACTGCACTCCCTGGCCACAGCAGAGAGCTGGCCTGGAAGAGGGGCAACCGGGACAGAATCTGGTGCCCTGACCGGGACTAGAACCTGGTGTGCCGGCGCCGCAAAGGGGAGGATTAGCCTAGTGAGCCGCGGCGCTGGCGTAATTTTTTTTATATTTTATTTAAAAAAAATTTTTTTTAACAGGCAGAGTGGACAGTGAGAGAGACAGAGAGAAGGGTCTTCCTTTACCGTTGGTTTACTCTCCAATGGCCGCTGTGGCTGCTGTACTGCGCTGATCCGAAGCCAGGAGCCAGGTGTTTCTCCTGGTCTCCCATGGGGTGCAGGGCCCAAGCACCCAGGCCATCCTCCACTGCACTCCCTGGCCACAGCAGAGAGCTGGCCTGGAAGAGGGGCAACCGGGACAGAATCTGGCGCCTGGACTGGGACTAGAACCCGGTGTGCCGGCGCCGCAAGGGGGAGGATTAGCCTAGTGAGCCGCGGCGCCAGCCAATATTTTACTATATTAATGTCTTAATAATAGATGTTGTCCTAAGGTCTTCATGTATGTAACTCATTTAATCTTCACCTTTACTAAGCAAATGCACATAATCTTCATCCATTCACCAAAAATGACTTATTGAGCATCTGTGCATGTGCAGAATACTGAGTGCCAAGTGGCAGGACGAATTCAGCAAGGTCCTGGCCTCTCTGGAACTTGAGATCTGAAAAACAGAAAATACGTGACTGAGGATCATGCAGTAAGCAAACTGGTTCATTTAATTATGCACATTTTTTCTGTTTGTAATTATGCAAGATTATGGTTTAACCATAATTATAACCAAATAATTATGGTATTAACCAAGATTATGGTTCTGATCCAATTGTGTGCTTTTTAAGAATAGGGGGAAATCTCTTGCATTCGTTCATAGTGCTAAACAAATAGATACCAATATTTAATGAGGGTTACAGGAATGCTTTTATGAAACACTATAACCTGAGAGTTGTTGGAATTACCTAGTGGGATTTCAGGGGGCTAGAAAAGATCACCTAGCAAATGGAGTTTGCTAATAACGGAAGTAATCATACACAAATGGAAATAGTGTTGATTAGGAGTAGTCAGACATCTAGGTTTCCAAGTAGCCTCAGTGAGCCCTGTTAAGACAGAAACATTCAGTTGAACTCTAGGGCTGTTCAGTACCTCTAACACTTGAAACGTGGATTCAGAAGGAAAGCAGGAATAGTGTTTTAGTAAAACATGGAGATAAAAATTCTGGTAGTCTTTTTATGAAATATGTTAAAAAATTCTTCTAGAAAGCAGAGACTGCTTGAAACATTATATGTCAATTTGGTAAACAATGGCAATAATGAGATCTTCCCCAAAACACTCTATGACACTTTAATGTCAGTCTTTCCTGTCTATATTTGGCAAACCAATGATCTTATTATTACTACTTATATGATTAATTATAGTAGTGCATCGAGAAGTGAAGTCCAGCAAGTAATGCCCTAGAATGAAATGTTGGTCTCAGTAGTAGGAGATGCCAACCAGTCTATTGCTTACAGCTCCTTCTGTAGCACCGGTTTTGCTTTAGCTGAGCCATTAACGTTTAAAGCAGCCCAAACTGGGTTCAGAAAGGTAGCAAAAGGAATGACAGGAAAGGCTGAAAACCTGAGAGCAAGGGCAGCTTCTGGGTTCTCATGCAAATGTGTGGACCCTGAAAATCTTTATGAAGTAAGGGAGCCATTGACGTTAGTGAGCTTGATCATTTCAGGAAAAGTGACAATGAAAGCTCTGTATGCCTTTTCACATCATGAGGTTTTTCACTAGGCATTCTGTGAAATGACATTTTTAAAGTTTGACATGAGTTTTGTTCATTCCCTGTCAGCTAGCATCTTTAGCACAAATTCTTAGAGCTTTATATCATCTATGTGTTGCTGTACACTCTTGTGGGGTTTTTAATGTCCTATTTTATTTATTTAGTTGAAATTTAGAGTGACTAAGGACAGAGGGAGAGAGAGGGATGGAGAGATAGGTAGGTAGGTAGGTAGGTAGGTAGGTAGATAGATAGATAGATAGATAGATAGATAGATAGATAGAGATGTATACCTCAAAACCAGTGGTTCACTACCTAAATATCTACAAAAGACAGTACTGGACCAAGTCAGATCAAGATCCTAGAACTACAGCAGGGCTTCCCACATAAGTAGCAAGGGGCCCAAGTCCTTGGACCATAATCCATTGCTTTTCTAGGTTCTCTAGTAAGGAGCTAGATAGAAGGGCAGCTGGATCTCAAATCAGCATTCCAATATGGAGTATGGCATCACAAGTGATGGTGGACTAATCCACTGCAACATCAAGCAAACTTGTCTCAACCTCCTGTGCTGGGAGGCTTCCCTTATGTAGATGACATTTAAACCAAAAGCTGAGGAGTCACGGCTGACATCCACACATAGCTCTACACAGAAAATGCAGCATTCTAAGAGTGTGGGGGGGCCGCTGGTCTGGATTAGCTAACACTCAGTTTTTCTTATCTTAGGTAGAGGAATGAAAACCTGTTGCAGTTGAGCCCATCAACATCAGAAGTTGAGACTTAAACCACACCTGAACTTTGAGTGAGATCCTTTTCCTAGTGTTGTCAATCTGAGAAGCCAGCCTCTATGGGAAAGCTTAAGCAGAGTATACTCATCCATGAAATTTGGATTTTGCTGCATTCAAACAGAGAATATCAACAGTAAGTATTTTTTGTTCTATCTATTTACTTTTTGAAAGTCCGAGTGATGCACATATGCATACATATACACATATATGCACACACGGAGGGGATAGAGAAAGAGAGGTAGGTAGGTAGGTAGGTATGTAGATAGGTAGATAGATAGAGATATCAAAAATCTGTTCACTCCTCCAAATGCCTGCAACAGCTATGTCTGGGCCAGGCTGAAAAAAAGGATCATGGATCTACCCCTGGGTCTCCCACATGGGTAGCAATGAGCCCAAGAGCTTGAGGCATGATCCATCAGTCTCACAGGTACGTTTGCAGGGAGCTGGATTGGAAGCAGAGCAGCTGGGACTTGTACCACCATTTTGACTTGGGCATCACAAGTGGTGGCTTAACCCACTGTGACACCAGACTGGCTCAATGAGTGTTTTGTTTCTCATGCAGATTTGTAGATAGCTAGAGTGGGTCTATTTCACAGGTCTCATTCTGCCATTGGAGGGCTAGTGGCTACTCTGGACTCTTAAGATTAATTCAGAATCATTCACACTGCCTTTCGCCAACGTTTCCATATTTGCCATGTCTCATGGCCAAGCCAGAGAGTACAGTTGTCTCTCTGGTCCTTGAGGATTGGTTCCACTCACCTGTGGATACTAAATTCCAAAGATACATTCCTTACATATAATGGTATATTACTTCCATTTCATCTGCTCATATATTCCTGCATACTCTAGACCAACTCTGGATGACATTATATCTAGTACAGTGTAAATCGTTATACTGTTTTGGGGGGAGGACTGACAAGAAAAAGAATCTTTACATGTTCAGTTATCTTTCACTTTACTTGAGTAGCCTGAAACTTTACCTTGTAGCCTGAAACTGTCAGAGACAATATTGTGTGAGTGAATGACCATGGGTAACGTTAAGTGTTTGACCTGTTTTTGACCCAGTAGTTGTCATTTGCCAGCCTTGTAACAGATCACAATTTACTCTTGGGCACCACTATTCAGAACTCCCCTTGCTCAGAAAGTTGTTGATTTCTTTCAAGTTTAAGCTCTCTTGAAAAATATCATTATTTGTTTTCATCCATACCATCTCACGTTGGAGATTTCTCCAAATTTATGTCAATTCCATATTTATATTTATATATATTTATATTTATATATATTTAGAAAACTAAACCACAGCTTGCCATTTCTTTGAGGTATTATCTGGGAGAATTTTGATCTGAAACTTGGGCAGGAAGGTTTTTAAAAATGTAGCATTTTGCTTAGAGTGTATAAAAAGTCTCATAGTAGAACAAGGGTTCCATGCCTGTCTTGTTAATCATTTTCTCACTATATAAACATGCGTGCTGAACAGAAGCTGCCTTTATAATTAGAATGCAGTGAAGCTTCTTCTGTTCATTATCATGACCCTGTTTTTTTTTATTTTTTTTTTATTTTTTTTAACTTTTATTTAATGAATATAAATTTCCAAAGTACGATTTATGGATTACAATGGCTTCCCCCACATACCGTCCCTCCCACCCACTACCCTCCCCTTTCCCACTCCCTCTCCCCTTCCGTTCACATCAAGATTCATTTTCGATTATCTTAATATACAGAAGATCAGCTTAGTATACATTAAGTAAGGATTTCAACAGTTTGCTCCCACACAGAAACATAAAGTGAAAAATAATAGATGATTTTTTTTAAATGATGATGAAGAGCCGGCGCTGTGGCTCAATAGGCTAATCCTCCACCTTGCGGCGCCGGCACACCGGGTTCTAGTCCCGGTTGGGGCGCCGGATTCTGTCCCGGTTGCCCCTCTTCCAGGCCAGCTCTCTGCTATGGCCAGGGAGTGCAGTGGAGGATGGCCCAGGTGCTTGGGCCCTGCACCCCATGGGAGACCAGGAAAAGCACCTGGATCCTGGCTCCTGCCATCGGATCAGCGCGGTGCGCCGGCTGCAGCGGCGGCCATTGGAGGGTGAACCAACGGCAAAGGAAGACCTTTCTCTCTCTGTCTCTCTCTCTCACTGTCCACTCTGCCTGTCAAAAATAAAAAATAAAAAAAAAAAAAATGATGATGAAAACAGATCAGACCTATTGTCATGTTTAATCCCAGTGAGAGTCAAGCTGGGAGTTGATAATTTTTTTTTTTTTTTTTTTTTTACAGAGGATCAGTTTAGTATACATTAAGTAAAGATTTCAACAGTTTGCACCCCCATAGAAACACAAAGTGAAATATATTGTTTGAGTACTCGTTATAGCATTAAATCTCAATACACAGCACATTAAGGACAGAGATCCTACATGAGGAGTAAGTGCACAGTGACTCCTGTTGTTGACTTTACCAATTGACACTCCTGTCTATGGCATCAGTAGTCTCCCTATGCTCCAGTCATGAGTTTCCAAGGCTATGGAAGCCCTCTGAGTTCTCCGATTCTTATCTTGTTTAGACAAGGTCATAGTCAAAGTGGAGGTTCTCTCCTCCCTTCAGAGAAAGGTACCTCCTTCTTTGAAGACCTGTTCTTTCCACTGGGATCTCACTCGCAGAGATCTTTTGCCAGAGTGTCTTGGCTTTCCATGCCTGAAATACTCTCATGGGCTTTTCAGCCAGATCCGAATGCCTTTAGGGCTGATTCTGAGGCCAGAGTGCTATTTAGGACGTCTGCCATTCTATGAGTCTGCTGAGTATCTCACTTCCCATGTTGGATCACTCTCCCCTTTATTTATTCCATCAGTTAGTGTTAGCAGGTACTAGACTTGTTTATGTGCTCCCTTTGACTCTTAGTCCTTTCATTATGATCAATTGTGAACTGAAATTGATCACTTGGACTAGTGAGATGGCATTGGTACATGCCACCTTGATGGGATTGAATTGGAATCCCCTGGTATGTTTTTAACTCTACCATTTGGGGCAAGTCAGCTTGAGCATGTCCCAAATTATACATCTCTTCCCTCTCTTATTCCCACTCTTATGTTTAACAGGGATCACATTTCAGTTAATTTTTAACACTTAAGAATAACTGTGTATTAATTACAGAATTAAACCAGTCATATTAAGTAGAACAGACAAAAAAACTACTAAGAGGGATAATGTATTAAGTTGTTCATTAACAGTCAGGGCTATGCTGATCAAGTCACCGTTTCCCATAGTGTCCATTAAAATATAGGCTCAGAGACCATTAGCATCATAGGGTACATATTCCCACAGAGACATTTTTCACTTCCTGCTTTCATTTGCAATTTAACTTCAATTGTAGTATTTAATATTTTCCCCATGTCGGGCCGGCGCTGTGGCTCACTAGGCTAATCCTCCGGGTTCTAGTCCCGGTCGGGGCGCCGGATTCTGTCCTGGTTGCCCCTCTTCCAGGCCAGCTCTCTGCTGTGGCCCGGGAGTGCAGTGGAGGATGACCCAAGTCCTTGGGCCCTGTACCCCATGGGAGACCAGGATAAGCACCTGGCTCCTGCCTTCGGATCAGCACGGTGCGCCGGCCGCAGCGCGCTGGCCGCGGCGGCCATTGGAGGGTGAACCAACGGCAAAGGAAGACCTTTCTTTCTGTCTCTCTCTCTCACTGTCTCTGCCTGTCCAAAATAAATAAATAAATAAATAAAATAAAATATTTTCCCCATGTCTTGCGTATGAAAGAACAGAATGGTGGTAGAATGCTACACTGTAACTCCTAAATTCCCAACAAGATGTGACTAATGCTGTCAGGTTTAAATAAGATGAATTTCTTCAAGCTCGTTAAGACTGTGATATTCAGCTTTTCTAGTAGGAAGTTCACATGGGGGATTTCACAATTCAAGAATATTAACACACTGAGTAAAGAGACACATGCTTTGTTGTTTCTAAGTTCTTTGTTTGAGTAATTTCATTTAATGTCATGCATTACTGAGGAAGCTGAACTGTGGGCTCGATGGGTATCCCAGTTGTGCTGTTGTTTGACATTTACATGGTCCCTTCCTTCATTCCGCAGCCAAGAAGTTCATCCTGTGGCTTCCCAACAAGCACATCCAATAAAGTGTTTCTGAACCATTTTTTTTCACCTTTTGCATCCTTTTAGCAATTGAGCATCCAGGACACAGAAGATTCCCTTCACATGCTTTCAAAATTTACCCATGTCTGATTGTGTGATTTCTATTTACACTTTCCTCAGGTATTCCACTATTAGATGATTGACTAAAGAATGGAAGGAAACAGAAGACAGAAGCCTTTATCTTAATCTTTCTTTGCTTAAAGAATCCACCAGGTAAGATCTGTGACTGGTGTGAAACTGAATTTTCTATCTACTCAGAAAAGTATTCAAATGAGCATCAGATCCAGAGAGTCCTTGAGGAATTCTGTTTGCTATTACTTGTAAATAATCTGTGAAATATGTGAAATTGTATTTCAAGTAATTTTGTTCACTATCACCATAATAAGCATTTATGTTGGAATAACTGTAGAATGGATACTCTCCTCTCTCTTTCAAATTTTTTATTTATATTTTGTAAAATTGGAACAGTAGGGATCCTTCCATTCTGCATGATTGAAAGCCAGCAGTATTTACTGGTGCCTATTTTTAAAGTGTACATAGAAAAGCTACCTTATATCTGTGAGTGTTGACAATTGTGTTCCAGTCTGGCCAAAACCTTGTGACCCAGCAATAAGATCATAATAAAACATCTAGGTAGGAAAATGAGTTGACCTTCTGATAACCCAAGTCAACTTTCGTTACTATGTTACCTATTTTTGTTCTCTATCATTGGATCTATTTTTAAATAAGAGAAACACGGTGTATTTTCAGTTATTTGTATGAAATACATTTTCATCTATGTTTGTTTGTGCCCTTTGCTATGCAACTTATTTCCACAAAGGGACTTAACCAGATCAAAATCTTTTTTTTCAATTGTCATTCATGTTCTGTGTTTGAAAGACAGAGAGGGTAACAAGTAGAGTTCTTGCATTTGCTGGTTCTTTGCTCAAGTTCCTGGAGTAGTGAGGGGGTAGATCAGGCTGATGCCAGGTTTAAAGAACTCAGCTCAGGTCTCCCACATTGGTGGCAGGGATCCAGGCACTTGAGCCAGCAATCCTGCCTCCTAGAAGGAGTATATGTAGTAAGGTGGAATGGGCAGTTGATCTGGGACTTGATACTGGCACTGTGGTAGAAGATGCTGGCATCTTAACTGCTGAGCCAAACACCCATTCTGAATCTATGTTGTCTTGGAATATTATCTGTGTACCCAAAACCCTGCAAGTATAAACTGGACAACCCCTAATCTAAGTCCATGCGAGAATACTATCTCAAACACCCTTGAAAACTGTCTACATATGGATATACTTGCTGGAAGCCAAGAGGTAGGTGTGTATTTCTTTGTGATAGAATAGTTCTTCTGATACCCAGCGAACCCCAGGGGGGGAACCATCAAGCAGAGCAACAGAGAAACCCTATCTAGACACTGAGAGAATACTTCCAGGGTTTCTGGAGTGCTATTTGTGGGTTCAGGCAGGCATCAGGGATTGAATTATCCTATTCCACTCTTTATCTCACACTTCATCACAACAGTTTGAAAGTCATTATCTTCTTTTTACAGATACAAGAACTGAGATACGGAAATATTAAGTAGTTTGCCAAAAGTCAAACATCCATAATCTATCTCCAGTCCTAATTCCAAAGACCCTATTATTTTACCATCTGCCCTTGCCTCCCAGAGGTGAGGTGACAGGAGAGGGTCCCCTGCATCAGCACACAAGCTATGTACATCTCATTCCAAGTTGGAGAAGTGAAGACCAGGCAGTTAAAATATTTGTGTATCCTATTGCCAGTCTACTCTATGAAGACATAAGGAATGGAGTAACTAACACCTTGCTCCCTCAGCACTGTTTCAATAGGCAGTATTCTGAAAAAATCTTTTTCATGAGATGTTGCCTTGAGTAGTTTATGAGCCCAGGGTATTATAGTCATAGCATCACTAATTTCTTCCATCATGATTTTCTTCTCTCATTCCTTTATGCATTTTTGTAGCCAAATTGTGTGTTTAATTTGTGTTTAACATATTATCCTATCCCCCTCTGCTCTGTTTCAATCAACTTGAGAAATAGACATGGGAACTAGGAGATCTGATTTAATGTGTATATTATCATCAACATTATTCCTTTCTTTAGGAAGGCTGAGTAGGACATGCTTTATCACTTTATCCTCCATTTTGTGATTTCTTTTGCTCTTTTCTATAAACTGTGGGAATGATGATTAATATTGGGAGCCTGATTTTCCACTGTGGTGTTGGAACTCTGCCTTGAATGAAAAGATAGATGACAGATGTAGCTAGAAGCAGCATTTCAGGGTGCACTTAGATATTTTACAATGGTTTTGATTTGTTCAAAAATGTTCGCAAATATTGTTCATTTTATGGACTTAGTTTTGTGACAGCACTTCCAATTTGGTGTTCCAGAATTCACTCATCTCAATGAAGTACCTGCCTTGTGCCAAGGTCCTGAGAGGTAAAATATGACTTCCTATTCTTGCCAGCAGAGGGCAGCAAAGAACACTGGAGCAGGTGCTTGATATCAGCTACTGAGGATGTTTCCCTTGGTGGAGGCAAAGATGAGGGTGTTCAGAGGACCAACATGAGAAAGGATAATTACAGGGATCCAGGAGGGAGACCAGAACATATGGGGAGTGTAAGGTTCTCCCAAAGGCTCATAAACTGCCAGCACAAGTAGACATCTGGAGAGTCATTGATTATAACCTTTTCTTGGTATTGATTGCTATTCCCAGCCTGTCTGATGCCAAGGTGTGGCTGGCTGCCTAAGGTAACAGTCAACTAAAAGCATATCTGGGCACTAATACAAACTGGCTGCCTGAGAGTTATCAACAAGCTGCCCACAGAGGCTGAGGGGTCCAGAAGCAGCCTTGTGAGGGTGAAGGATGAATGGGTGGAGGGCTCACCAAATCCAGCTGCAGAAGATACTGAGGCCCTGGGTACATGCCAGAAGATGATTCTGTGAAATATATATACGTACATATGTATATAATACTAAGGATATTTTCCCCTTGTCGTGGGGGTGGGGGGCACTGTTAGCTATGGAAACACTGTGTGATTTAGGAATTAGACAGTTCTCACTTTACCAACTGTTAGGTATCTGGCCCCCAGTCACACAACTTCACTGAGCTTCAGTTTCTCCACCTGTCAAATGGAATTAATAATTTTTACCCCAGAAGCTGATGTTGAGCAAGGGGATGCTGTATATAAACTACCTTGCAAGAAGCTTGATGTTTTGTAGTTGCTAAATGGATTTCATTGCGTGACATATTCTCCCTCCTTTCTCTGTGGCCATGGACAAACATCCATGATACTGTTCACTATTTTGGAAAATAATGTCTCCCTGTCTTTTCTAAGCATCCTTGGTATTAAGCAAGAATTATTATGTGAGTTAGCTTGCTAAATTTTCTATACTGTTATCCCATTTTATAGTTGCGGCAGTCCTTTGAGGTGCACTATCACCTCTGTTGTGCAGGTGGAGACACTGAGACTCTTCTAGAATAACTCCTTTTACCAGCACCCTTTACATGGCGAATGCTGAAGGGGGGTTCAAAAACTACATAGTTTGGTTGCAGCCCTCCTGCCAGTGTTGCTACAAAACCTTCTTTCCTGTGTAGATAGTTCATCACCCATTTACTTTTTTTAAGGTTTAATTTATATTTATGTATGTATGTATATATATTTGAGAAAATCAGCTTTGAAGAACCCAAGAATAGTGCATCCTTTGTGAGCACTTAGACATTACTATAGCTTATGAGACATAGATAACATCCTCCACTTAATACATTAAAATAAAGTAAATCTTTGCAAACAAGTTTTACTATTAACTCTCATAATCCAACAATTTGAGGACAGAGGTCCTGCATGGGAAGTTAATGCACAGTGACTCCTGTTGTTAATTTCACAATTAACACTCTTATGTGTGTTGTGAGAGATCACCCATTTAAACACTTAAGGGGGAAAATTGAATAAAAGAATTTTGTGTTTGTGATACGTTAAAATAATCTCATAATTGACACAGCATCACATTGATACTATCTCTTCATTTGGTATTTAGGGCCGAAAGGTCATTGTTCAATGACAGAAATGAAAATAGACTGCTATGGTCGGAGTTCTTCCCCCACCCACCCAATTCTCCTGTTGAAGCCCTTACCTCTTTCTCTTTCTATGCCATGCAAGGACACAGTATGAAGATGGTTGTCTATAAGCCAGGAAAAGAGGCTGAGTCAATGGGGTCCCGTGCTCTTGGACTTTCAACCTCCAAAACCGTCAGACTAGTAAACTTCTTTCTTTGACACATTACCTAGCCTAAGGGGTTTTGCTACACGAACAGAAAATGGGTGAATCATGTATTTATTTTAATGTTGTACATATTATTTTTGTATAAAATATTATATAATTATACTAAAATATGCAAAGGAATAATATTGCACTATAGCTTTGAAATATATTGCCGCTTGGGCAAACTGGAGGAAAGATTGCCAAAATCTCTCTGTGTTTCTTACAACTGCGTGCAAATGAACCATCATCTCAGTTTAGTTTTGAAGAATTGAATGATGGTGCCAAAATCTAGAAAACCAATATATCACTTTAAGAGTTTGTCAGTTATGGCATGAGCCTTAGAACCTTGACATCACAATGATGGGTGATCTTGACTACTGTGGAACCCACAGTCTTCAGGGACTTGTTCATAGTCTCTGTTGAGGAGTATAGACAGAGTCAAGGGTTGTGACGAATGGAGAGTAATGCTGTCAGAGCTTTTGGAAGTCATCTGCCAGTCCCCAGCGCAAGGTAGCCTTTTCCTATACTACTTGTGATCATTTAAGCAGACTGGTCGCCGCAGGAAGAGTTCTGTCCTGTTTTCCCTAAAACAGAGGAAGTAATTCCTGACTTTGGTGCTGGTTTCATGAGAAGCTACTTTTGTTCTTTGATTTAGTGCTACTGAGCTCAAAAGAGCAGGCTTTGTACTATCAGGGGAGACACTTCCTTGGCTTCATGGCAAAGAGTTTTCTCTGGAAAGATCTCGAAAGAGGCTGTCCTGTTTATGAAAGAGTTTTATGTTCTGCTCAGTCTAACTGGTTTTACCTATTATGGCCACAGAGCCCCGTTGGTACATGGTCCTAACTCAACCAGTTATATCTAAGCCTGTCTGATGTTAAGAAATGTTTGTGGATGTTTCCAGTATTATTTCATGTTGTCTAGCACTTCTCTCCCCTCACCTCCCAGTTTGAACACTAATTTAGATAAGATGGGAAGCATTTTACTAAGTGGGAATCAATGTATATCCCTATTAATGTAAATTATCATGCTAACAGGGGACCACGTTACAATGACTTCTTTACCAATCGCTGTGTCATTTTGTTTTACATGTGATAGGCTGAAAATTGCCTTGTGTTCCCTCTTCTGAAACCATGTTTTAAGAGCTTGGTGAGTGACAGCTGTGGTGTCCATCTTAGTGTTCTTTACAGAGGGCAGTGTGGTAGTTGAATGGAAATACTCTCTTTAGGGATGTAAACTGCTTTAGAATATCAGGGGTATGTGCTTTAATTTTCCTTTGAAAAGGCAGAATACATGCCTGTTGCTTTTACTTAGAATGAATTAGCAGCAGATATGTATGGAGAACTTCACAGTTGAAGAATGCTTTTGATATTTTACTTTAACTTGCACTAAAACCAGGTAGATTGATATTATTGTTCCAGATTACATGTTCTCTTTTATGATATATGTTCCCTTTCATACACAGCCAGTTAGAAACAGTCAGACTCTGAAATTTTCAATAATCTTCAGTACTTTCTTTTCTTATTCTTAAAATTTATCTATTAAGGGATACAAATTTTCATAAGTACAACTTTAGGAGTATAGTTATTCTTCTCACTATATCAGTCCTCCCACCACACTCCCATGCCTCGTCCCCCTCACTCTCCCCTTCCCAGTTCTATTCTCCATTAAGATTCATTTTCAGTTAACTTTGTACATAGAAGACCAACTCTATATTAAGTAAAGATGTCAACAGTTTTCACACATACACACACGCACACATATATACATACACAGACTGTTTGAAAACTGGTTTTACAGTTAACTCTCAATACAACTCATTGAGGACAGAGGTTCTGCATGGGGAGTCAGTGCACAGTGACTTCTGCTGTTAATTTAACAATGAACACTCTCATGGATGACGTCAGTGACCACCCGAGGCTCTTGAAATGAGCTGTCTAGGCTATGGAAGCCTTTCTTAATAGAAAACGTTTATTTCAGAAATACAAATTTCAAAAGGACAACTTTTGGATTATAGCGTTTTTTTCCCCTATGGACAAGGCCATAAGCAAAGTGGAAGTTCTCTCTTCCCTTTAGAGATAAGTACATTCTTTTTTGATTGCCACTTTTTTCCACTGGGGTCTCACAGAGATCATTCATGTGGACTATGTTTTTGCCACAGTGTCTTGGCTTTCCATGCCTGAAATGCTCTCACAGACTCTTGATCCTCAATACTGCCAAGTGCACACTAGCAGAATCTTTCGTATGCACATTTTTGCTAGCTGTGTATTCAACAGAATTTCAGCTTTTTCTTTCTCATGCTCCTCAGACATGTTATAGCCTTCGCTTATTGCTGATTGCAAATCCGCATTCAAATTTTTAGATGCTTATGGCAATGGCACCTAGTCTCAGGAAGCAACATTCTTTTTGTTAAAATAATAGAGGTACAACAATGACCAGAAACAGAGAGATTGAAAACCACAGGAATTCCTTGTTACAGACCTGTAGGGCACAGGTTTATTTGGGATTCTCTGGGTCCACTTCATAGGGTCCTCTAAGCTTGGTCCACGTGTTGGGAGATTGCTCTGGGCTAGGATCTGCTTCTGAGTTATTTCAGAACATTGGCTGAATTCCCTTACTTGTAGTTGAGGTACCTTCCTCCTCCAGCTGTCACCTGGGGGCTGACTGTATCTAGTCTTATGTTTCTGTGTAGCTCCTGCCCATATGATAGATTCATTCTCCCTTGCCCTTCAACTCTCTCTGGCTTCCCCTTCTGTACCATGTCCTGAGTCAATGTAGATGATAATCTCTGATTTGGGGACCTCTTGGGGGTTAGTTTAGGCCTCCTAAACTAGGGAATGTCGTCTCCCTGTTTGAAGGTTCATCACATTCATTCTGTCTTCACAGTTTCTTTTTGCAGATAGCACAGTCATAGGCTGCAATCATTAGGATGTGAGGCTTTTGGATGGGTTGTTTTAGAACCCTCTGTGTACCACAGACTTTGTGGAAAACATCCCTTCCATCATTCCACCAGCAGTTGTCCATGGTTACCAAGACCTCCATGTTAGTAAGTCCAATGATGAGTCCTCAGTAACCACCTGCCTTACCTTCCATAGCGTTTGATGGGAGTGATGGCTCCCTTCTTGTTATCCTCTCAGTTCTCCACTTACCTGACACCTCTTGGTCTGAGCGGCTGTCTTCTTTTGCACGCCTGTAAAATGATACTTGCCCTAGGTTCTCCCTTGGATGTGTTCCCTGTCCAACTCTCTCAGTGCCACCTGCTCTTTGAGACCTGTAAAACCTGAAACCCCATTGGCATCTGTAGTTGGAGATCCTTGTCTGCGGAATTGAGATGACAGTTTTATCATGTGTCACTCCTAATGATTGGCATCAAACTAGTCTGTGACCATTGACTACCTACTCTTTGGTGTTTGCTGTTGAGCAGGGACGATGATTTTCAAGAGGCTGGAGCTTCAAAGGATGCAAGTGCTTCAAAGGGACGTGTCCAAAGACTACTGGTGTACGGTCCGATAAAGTTAAGAACGGGTAATAAGAAAACAAAGCATGAGGCTTTTTTGTTCAAGGACGTACTGAAAATCTCGAACATTCGGTAGGTACATATGCTGCATGCTATCCTGATCATCGTGAAATGTATTGTCTCTAACAAAATTCATTTTCATGCACTCTTTCTCAGCAAGTAGCATGTTTTTACTTTGTTTTTGCCGGTGGTTTCATTCTTCACTTATTAAACAAGTAGTCATGGAAGTTTTATTCTGTATTGTGCCCCTGTAGACAGTGGAATCAAGAATGGGAGAGACAGGGTTCCTCTCTCTCTCTTTCTGAACATTTATTTATTTATTTTAAAGGAAGAGTTAGAGAGAGAAGGGCGGGGGAGAGAGAGAGACAGAGACAGAGAAAGTCTTCCATCCGCTGGTTCACTCTCCAGATGGCAGCAAACATCGAAGCTGTGCCAGTTTGAAGCCAGGATCCAGGATCCAGGAGCTTCTTCCAGATCTTCCACATGGGTACAGGCGCCCAAGGACTTGGGCCATCTTCTAATGCTTTCCCAGGCCATACCAGAGAGCTGTATTGGATGTTGAGCAGCCGGGACTTGAACTGGCACCCACATGGCATGCTGGCACTGCAGGCAGTGGCTCTACATGCTATACCACAGTGCTGGTCCCAGGATTCTTCTTTCTTGAGACTTGCCTAGAGATGATAAAACTAAGAAAGAGACAATTGAAGATTGTAATAATATGCATCTGATAGTAGGAAATAAACAGTGCCATGTGGAGAGTGTCAGAGAAGAGTCCCACTAGGGTGCCTATGTGAGGTAGAACATTGAAACCATTCCTCTGGTGTGAGAACCAGCCACCTGTTCTATAGACTGGGTGTCCCAATTTGCCTGGCTGAGGGGACTGCAGGCCATTTTGTATGCAGCTTGACCCTTTGGGAGCAGGGCTTTAGCAAGGCTGATGTTTCTGGAGCTCATTGTAATTGACCAGGTCAGAGGTGAGACTGAATAAGTGCTCAGGGTTCTGGTCACAGAGGATCTTGACAGATCCCAGTAAGGGGTTGAGGAATTCCTTTGTAGGGGTTTCCTTATGGAAATGACCATATCAGGTAAATATTGTAGTATATCACTGTGACTGCTGGGAGATAATGGATTGGAGAGCTGGCAACAATATAGGAGGGAGACTATGTCCTGGAGATGATAACCCAGATCACCGATACCAAGGACCCCAACTTGGGAGGGACAGTGAAATCAAAAGGTACAGGAGGCAGATTTGGTGTGCCGGTTGGAGATAGACACCAGAGGATGTCCCGGGTGCTTGGGCCCTGCACCCGCATGGGAGACCAGGAAGAAGCACCTGGCTCCTGGCTTCGTATTGGCAGCGCACCGGCCATAGCGGCCATTTTGGGGGTGAACCAATGGAAGGAAGACTTTTCTCTCTCTCTCTCTCACTCTCTCACTGTCTAACTCTGCCTGTCCAAAAAAAAAAGGGGGGGGGGCGGGAATTTGAAATAAGCTGTCTTTAGAGAAGGAGTGGAGAGGGTCCCCTCTGCCACCCGGCCAGGATCAATTTGAATATTTATAGCATCTTTCACGGGCTGGAGAAAATCATCAACTTAAAAATTTAGCCTGCTATGGATTTGTTGAATTTTGAATCCAGCTTGCAGTTAGTTGCCTTGGCAGTGCCAGCCTCAATGACTTCACAGGCTTTGTACAGCCCAGGGACCAGACATTCACCATCCCAGCTTTCAAGATGAAAAATTTGTATAAGAATTAAGATTCAAATGTATTTGTAATATCTGAAACTAAGGTTATTCCAAGATTATGTATGTATAGTCTATCTCTGTGAAGAAGAAAATTTTATAAATAATTCATCCATGATTTAATCTTTGTTCAACCCCTCAGACACTCTGTTGAAGTCAATCAGATGTGCATGACCAGAGAATGAGTGATTCTCTTAAAATGTAACACCTTTAAAATATAGAGTATGGCCTCAAGTCCATAGTCAGCATTCAGAAAGAGACCAGTCCATGTGTTGCCACTGGCTGCCGTTAATCTTGTGTGGGTGGGCCCCTTGTGGGCCAGCCTTCACTGAGCACATGCTTTTGTCAAGGTCCACCTGACTCTTGCCTGTGCTGTGCACTGAGAGGGAATAGATGGATGTGAGCTGTTCTTGGTTATGGAACATGGAGAATCGGGGTTTGCTCAGGAGAGGATGTGCTCTCATTACATTTAAGAAAAAAATCATCTTTCTTGATGATCTTTTTAGGTACAGCAAAAATATGTACTACAAATATGTAATCCCTGTCAATGAAATATGGATTTCCAAATGCATTGTTGAGGAAGGTGATACCAGTGCCTCCAGGTGCCTGAATATTGGCTGGCCCATGGCAAATTATAGGGCCAAGTTCTTGTAAGTATCACTGCTGAGTCTTGTAATTTTACTTTGATATGGAAGGATATAACCCTTATTGCCTTTTCTAACAAAGATAGAAAAATGCACCTAAATTTTCTTCCAAACTTTTTTTTTGGGGGGGGGGGAATTGTAAGCATTTTAATTTGATCCTGTAATAATCTGCTGCCTCACACTTTGACTTCCAGCCATGGCACTTGTATGACACATATTTTCCCCAAGAGGTTTTGATGTGCCAATATATGTGGAGAGGATGAAATAATGGAAACTGTTGGAATGATTGCTTTGGTCTGGAGCAATGGTTTTCCAAGGGCTCCATGAGCTACTTGGGGAGTGGGTATTTTGGATTAATAAAATTAGATTTGAGAGAGCAAGGCTCTGGGGCCCCTCTCCAATATCCTCTAGCCTCTAGGTCTAGGCTTTTGTGTGTTTCAACTAGTAGAGTAGATCAATTCAGCTTGAAAAAGTCCTTTTATTCTCCCAAAGTAATGCCCTAAAGAAATAATACTTGATTATACAAATTAAATTATATCCTGGGTTGCTAGAATTGCTATTTGGTGTCTTCAGTGATACGGCCACCTGAAACAAAGATTTGATTCATGGGATGTGGGTGAGTTTTCCAAGGCCCATTTTGAGGCTGGTATGAGGAAAGGAAACAGGGCTCCATTTCCTAGACATCATGTGTCTATGTTTTTGTGTACCACAGGTACATTGCAACCCCTGCCTGCTGCTCTGAACAGGCACAAACCGTATGGCCTGTGTGTTTTTCACATAGACAGTTCATCCCAGGCACTTAGTGCTCTTTTTTGCTCTCCTCCTCTCCTCACTCCCTCCAGGTCTGTCAGGTCATATTGAAGTTGATACAATGGAGATATATCCAAACTATTAATTAACTCAGTTCTGTGATGGAACTGCTTGCAAATATTACTGAGAAGAAAGACATGCTTATACCACTGTCTGCATGTCTTCTTTGCCGTGACAAATTTTCTCCCTAGGTTCTCAGATTCTATTGCTTAATGTCTTCTTAATCTTGCAGGTGAAAGGAAGCTGCCTATTTGGGCATATGTGGTGCCTTTGATGAGGAGTTCCACTAGACAGTTTTTTGAATAAGGGAGAAACGTGGGCACGAGGTGGACATAGGCTATATTGGCTGTGAAGCTGTGTAAACACATACAACACATTTACAACAATGCCCAGCACCGAGTACATTTGCTGTTGGCTGTTATCACTCTTATGCAAATTTGCATAAGTAACCAGTGGTGTTCAAGTCCATATGAAGGTGGAAAGTCAAGGAAATGTCCACTTTGCTGTGGAAGCGTGGAAGCATGTCCTGAGAAGGCATAGAAATGCAGCGTGGAGGAGCTCTTGCTGGTAGAAATAGGAAATGTGGCAGCCCCTGCAGAAAAACCTGTTGCTTCCATGAGTTCAATGTAGGATGACCACAGGACTGAGCAATTCCACTCTGGAATATAGGTCCAAGAAAAGTGTAAACATATATACACTCTATGTTCCTAACTCTGACTTTTGGGCACAAATGTTCCTAGCAGTGTTGATAATTAGAGCCAGAAGTTAGCAACAAATCACATGTTCATGACCTGATGAATGGATAGTTATGATGTGGTGTGGGATCTGGGGGTGGTGGAGAATAGGGCGTGGCTGCTTACTAGAGAGCAGGGTTTGCTCTTGGGATAATGAAAATATTCATGAGCAAGGTATTACAGATGCTGCCGGCACAGGACCCAGTCATATAAATGGTCAGTTTTATTTTCCATGTAGTTAATCCCTCCCCAGCTGTTTTGAATGCTAGTAAATTATAAGCCCATGTATGTTTGAGACTGCAGATCTTTTTCACTTTGGATTTCAAATACATTAATGATGTAGCAGAAAGGATATAAAACATTAGTCACCAAACACTAGGTGCTTTGACATCCTTCAGCACATCATAGCACTAAAATTATTTTCTAGGTATTTATTTGACATCTGACAATTCTGCAGCCTCTGTGAAGTACAGTGCTATGGATTTCCCCCCTAAAGTGAGCCCAGAGCATGCCATTCACATGCCCAGTCTCTTCAGTATGACCTAATCTGATCATAATGCTTTTTCCATTGGAATAGCACTTCAAGCTACAAGAGCACTCTGAGGTTTAATGACCTCCACTTTCAATGGTGGATACTGAGACTCATGTCAGTTCAGTGACTCCTGTGATCACTGAGCTAGCATCCCATAGTTGCAATCCAGAGTTTCATTTCAGGTCAGCTTCTCCTTCCCTTTAAGAACTCTTTCCCATCACTGTAACGTTGCTGTACAAGAGCAGACTCCACCCAGAGCCCTTGTTACACCTGAGTCCCCGTCACCCACAATTGCCTGCTGGTGTGTTTATCTGCAATGGTAGTCTTAATCAGATGGAATTAGTCTTTTATGTAGCTTACTATTTTCTCTGACTTCTCTGCTTGCAGCTCCAGGACCTTTATGAAAAAATGGGAACGATTGCTGGACAGGTATTTCCCTAGCATACACATTTTGAATCTTTAGTTTGTGATAGGAGGCATAAATCTCTGCAAGCAGTGCCCCTACATGATTCCCACTTAAAAATACTCTTAGATGATCTTGCAATCCTTGGTTCCTCTACATGTGCTGTAAGTCATGTTCCCTCATTCACATGAATGTTCTATTCACTGTTGAATAAGTTCAAGATATATCTTTCATCTTTCCCTCCGTACAGCCTATGGAACAGAGCTAACAATATTCCCAATATGTATTAAATGTCTGTAAATGTAGCTAGTACTGATCTACTCAGTGCTCTACTGAGTGAGTCTGAAAGCACCTGTTGCTTCCTACACTTGAAGCCATGAAGGTGGTCCGCATAGGAAAACTTTGAGGGGTGGATCTGCTGCCCAAACCACACATCAAGACACTCCCTGTTATTTTCCAGGCCATGCCGTCTTTCCCAGAATTATTTTCCTACTCATCTGGTTTTGTTGTTGTTCTTGTTTTGGCTTTTTAAAGATTTATTTATTTATCTGTTTGAGAGGTAGAGTTACAGAAAGAAGGAAAGGTGGAGGGGAAGCTCTTCCATCCACTGGTTCACTCCCCAAGTGGCCGCAATGGCTGGAGCTGGGCTGATCTGAAGCTAGGAGCCAGGAGCATTTTCCTGGTCTACTGTGGAGCTACAGGGGCCCAGGCCTTGGGCCATCTTCTACTGCTTTCCCAGGTCCTAGCCAGGAGCTGGATTGGAAGAGGAGCAGCAGGGACTGGAACCGGTGCCCATGTGGGATGCTGGTGCCACAAGCGGTGATGTTACCTCGTATGCCATAGCAATGCCACTCCTCATCTTTTGACCTTGCTGAGAAGTTCTACAAATCTAAATATAAATAATATAAAAATTATTTATAGATAAATATAAATATTTATATCCTGTAAGTATGCTGTAGATATCTGTGCACAGAAATACATATGTATGTGTCTGTATCAGTATATGTATTCGCTAGCTCAAACAAGAGTTTCGTGTGTGTGTGTATATATATATACATATAAATGATGAGAAATATATAGAGAAACATTCGCTAATTCATTAATTTTTGTTTCTTAATGATTTTGATTAGGTGTATAACTGAGTCGAAAGAGAAAGATCAAAAGCAGACCACACTTCTGCAGATAGAAGTAGATCCCGTTAGCAACATTCCTTATGTAAGTGTGTTTCGGACTCAACATTTTAAATTCCAGTTCCTGACTGAAAGAGAGGTAGAGACAATGGGGATAGAGGTTTTAGGTAGAGAAACAGATAGAGATCAAGAAGTATGGGAAGAGGAACAATATAATGGAACAGAGGAGAGGAGAGAGGAGGGGATGAGAAGAAGAGGGAGGAGAGAGTGAGATTGGAGTGACAGAGAGAGATGGGAGAGTGAGAGTATTCAGAAGGGAACATGGAGAAATATATCTTCACCTACACATGCAATTTTTTTGTGTACATAAAAAGTAAATGTTAGGTTATATGAAGCATTGAGAATCCATGATAACTCAATGCTTATGCTTAGAAAGAATATTTCCTGTTAAATATCCACAAAGTTTCATGTTTTCATAAAGTGTTTTTCCCAAGCCAGTATTCTGGGAATTAAATATTTCTCTTCATTTGTCACTACTTTCAAACAGTTGTTTTGTTTGTTCCCAGTTTTTCAGTATTTATTTCATATTAAAATATTTTTATTTATTTGGAAGGAATTTTAAAACCCTGAAATGTGTGAAAGAGTGATAGGAATATCACATCCAGATGTGCTGATTTGATAACATCTTGTCCTATTTTTGTTCCATAATTTGTTTTCTCTGTCTCTCTCTTGATATGTGTCTGGCTATGCTTCTTTCTGAAGGCAGTTACATATGCTGCATGCCTTATCTTCGAATACCTGTGTATTCCCAAGATCAAGATATAGTCTTAGATAAACACCATACAGTCCTCACCTGGAAATTGAGCATTGGTATAAATAATATTGTCACCTGTTGTTCATTTCATGTTCCAATTGACTGTTTGCTCTACTAATGCTCCCTTTGTGGAACAGAATCCACTCTCTCAGTTAGGTGTTGCATTGAGCTGGTTACGTCCCATACCAAAGTCTGTCAGGATTGAATTAAACTTGAAGGGGTGAACCTTTGGAGAGATCGGTGTGTGTCTTCCTCATTTTTGTATGTTGTAGGGAAGAATAGCTTCAGTTGGATCACATTTGATTTCTAAAATTATGACACCCTAGCCCAGATCTTCATAACGGTGACCATGATAACAGTGATACACCATTTGACTTTTTTGTTTACAGCAGCTTCAGATCACAAAACATGGTATTCGCAGTGGAAAAAGCCTAGTCCAACACAGCCATTTCCCAGCAGCTAATCAGAGCCAGGCATCTTTTATGAGCTGTTTTCCATAACCACAGGAATTACTTGAAGAAGTTGAGAATGGAGTTCTCCTGTAGGGAGGAGCACCCTTGTCTCAACCTGCTTTGGTTTTAGTTGTGGCAAATGGTTGCTCATCCTGGAATTTTTCAAAATCAAATTCATTTATGTATGGTTTTCATAAAATAACCATACCTAATGCTATTCATTCACACTTGAAAATCTGAGTTTTCTCTAATTTTATCTTGATTTTATCTTACAGAAACTTGCCATTTCCTGTAGTAAAGTTTTGGTGCCAACCAATTTTCTAATTTGCTTTCATCCAAAAATGTGTAGATTTCAGCTTCACCTTTTTTTTTTTTAAAGATTTATTTATTTATTTGAAAATCAGACTTACACAGAGAGAGGAGATGCAGAGAGAGAGAGAGAGAGAGAGAGGTCTTCCATCTGATGGTTTACTCCCCAGTTGGCTGCAATGGCCAGAGCTGCACGGATCTGAAGCCAGGAGCCAGGAGCTTTTTCCAGGTCTCCCACACAGGTGCAGGGGCCTAGGGACTTGGGCCATCCCACTGCTTTCCCAGGCCACAGCAGAGAGCTGGACTGGAAGCGGAGCAGCCAGGTCTTGAAATGCCAGCACTTCAGGCCAGGGCGTTCACCCACTGCACCACAGTGCCGGCCCCTCAGCTTCACTCTTGAAAGGTAGTTTTGCTGAACCTGGAAAGAATATCCTAGCTACTATTTCTCTCTCTACGCCTTGCAGATATTCCACTGTGTTCTGATCACGATGCTTTCTGATAGCTTGAGTGATCCATGGTGACTGTCTTATTTGCCTATTTTTCTGTCCCTGCTTTCAGGATCTATGTTCCTTCTCTGACTTACAGTAATATGACCACAGTGTGCCAAAACATGGTTTTCTTTGAATCTATTTTGTTTGATATTTTCTGAGTTCCTTTAATTTGTAACTTTTTAAAAAAGATTTATTTATTTACTTGAAAGAGTTACACAGAGGGAGAAGGAGAGGCGCAGAGAGAGGTCTTCCATCTACTGGTTCACTCCCCAGATGGCTGCAACGGCTTCCGATCCAAAGCCAGGAGCCAGGAGCTTCCTCCGGGTCTCCCAAGCTGGTGCAGGGGCCCAAGGACTTGGGCCATCTTCTGCTGCTTTCCCAGGCCACAGCAGAGAGCTGGATGGGAAGTGGAGCAGCCGGGACTTGAACTGGCACCCATGTGGGATGCGGGCATACAGGCAGCGACCTTACCCACTATGCCACAGCACCAGCTGCTAATTTGTAACTTTTTATTTTTGTCAAATTTGGGGAAATTTCACAGTGCCTGCAAACATTTTTTCCTTCTTGTAGGCAGCAAATAGATGGGTTTTGTTTGTTAATCCATTCAGCCAGTCTGTGTCTATTAACAGGGGATTTGAAGGCATTTACATTCAAGATGACTGTTAATAAGTAACTACTTTGCCCTGCCATTTTCCCAAAAATATTCCTGTTTTTTACGTTGAATTTCCTTTGAACTTTTACTGAGGGATTTTCTTCCTTTACCTTCTTTTGTAGTGATGACCATGTTTCTGTGTGCAACAAATCCTTAAGCATCTTTTGTGGGGCTGGACGGGTGGTGATAAATTCTTTGAATTTCTGTTTGTTATGGAAGGTCTTTATTTCACCTTCGTTCATAAATGAGATCTTTGCAGGTATGATATTGTTGGATGACATTTTTTTTCTTTTAAGCCTTGGAGTATATCTGGCCATTCTCTCCTAGCTTGTAGGGTTTCTGATGAGATGTCTGCTGTGAGTCTAACTGGAGATCCTCTAAAAGTACCATGACATTTCTCACATGCACATTTTAGAATCTTCTCCTTCTGTTTTACTGTGGTGAGTTTGATTACAATGTGGCATGATGAGGATATTTTCTGGTTATGTCTATTAGGAGTTTCATGTGCTTCCTTACTTGGATGTCCCTTTCTTTCTCCAAATTAGGAAAGTTTTCCGTTACTATTTCTTTTTTTTTTTTTTTTTGACAGGCAGAGTGGATAGTGAGAGAGAGAGACAGAGAGAAAGGTCTTCCTTTGCCGTTGGTTCACCCTCCAATGGCCGCCGCAGCCAGCGCGCTGCGGCCGGCGCACCGTGCTGATCCGAAGGCAGGAGCCAGGTGCTTATCCTGGTCTCCCATGGGGTACAGGGCCCAAGCACTTGGGCCATCCTCCACTGCACTCCCTGGCCACAGCAGAGAGCTGGCCTGGAAGAGGGGCAACTGGGACAGAATCCGGCGCCCCGACCGGGACTAGAACCCAGTGTGCTGGCGCCGCTAGGCGGAGGATTAGCCTAGTGAGCCGCGGCGCCGGCCTTATGATCAACTTTTAAACTTCCATTTCTTACATGTCTTCTGCCTCAATGTATTCACAATCTACTGTTGAAGGGTTTTACTCTTTTCAGGGTGTCATGTCGTGTTCCTTATTCTTGTTTCTTGAATTGGTGGGTTTGTTGTTTGGCATGTGTGGAGATACTTGTTGGTTTCTTCCTCTTCTTCTTTTTTTTTTTTTTTTTTTGGTCTAGTGGATTTTATCTGTGTACTGTGGCTCTGTAGATAAGTGGAATGTCTACTTTAAGTGAATATCTAGCTTGTAGTGGGTGTGATCAGGGAGCTCTGTTCAGTTCTCCAGGGTTAAGGGCATGTCTGAGGTGATACACCCAGGTTTGGCACAGTAAATCTCTCTCTCTGTTTTTTATCAGAAGGGAAATTTTTTCTGCTCAGCTGAGCTCCTCTCCTTAATGGAGACCAGTGCCTTAGCGCTAGCCCCAGTGGCTATAATATTCATCCACTCTGTCGCAGGGAGCACACAAAGGATCTGTGCAGTCCTCAGTGTAAGTTTAGATTCTCCAGCGATGTCTCTCACCAGGTAACCAGGAAGCCCTGAGCATGTGGAGTCTCCCAGTGTGAGTGCCCAAAGTCCCAGCCTCACCGTGGATCCTGCCTCACACCCTCAGTTTTTTTCACAGTCCCAGTAGAGAAGCCTCACAAAGTCACAGGCTCCTATCCCCCTGTTAGTTCTTCCCACTAGTCAGGGGTCTCCACTCAACTAGTTGCTGGGCATGGACACGAGCTGGCACAGCTGTTACATATGTCCAAAATGGCACCTGCTCTATTGGCTTGTTACAGAATGGCATTGTAAAGTGATTGGGGAAAGAGAAATTGTGTCCATACTTTTTTTTCTCTTCTAGTTTGGAAAGTACACTTTCCTCGTTGGGGCTGCAAGCCAAGTTTTCTCTAGGCTCTCTTTGCAGCTTAATCACCAGTGCCTTGGACTACTGCTAGTACTGTCTGGTCTCACCTCACTTTCCAATGCCAGTGCGTAGGCTCTCGGCTGCTGGGCAGGCTCTCGGCTATTGGAGTCCCAAGTTGTGGGCATCCGTGCCATCCACAGGAGGTCCACCATGTCCCTCTAATTTTGGTAGAGTTTCCTCTGGCATTTTCTCCCCAACTCTTCCCTGAGACTACACTCTTTCCACTTTTTAAAAACTATCTTCTCCTGGACTAGGGCAGTAAGCTCTAATTTTTTCAATCATACCTTTCTTCCTTTTTCAGACTGACTGTTTCCAATTGATGTATTTTCAAATTCATTGTCTTCCATTTGCCATCTCACTTGTGCTTTTTAGTCCACCCACTGCATTGTTCTTTCAGATATTTTTCACAGCTAAAGTTCCCATTTTGAAATATCTTCTGTTTTTGTGCTGGGACAGCCTCTACTTTTTTTTTTTTTTTCATTTTCAGCACATTTGTTTTAATGTCTTGGAGCACATAGCTGCTTTTGTTGCATAATTTTCATATGAAACTCTTAGAGATCTGGTCACATTTCCCTGGCCGTTATATATGGAGTAACATCTCATATGGAAAAGAAATGAAACTCATTTCCATATTTTCTAATTATTGAATAGTTTAAGTTACATGCTTATAAGCAGCTCCATCTATGTGTTCATAGAGAGAACAGGACCAGAAAAGAAGGCCCATACCCTTGTACTGCTTATTTTGAATTTAATGATTTCCATATACCATGAAAATCCATTATGTTACAAACCAGATAAATTGGAAAAAGATGAGTAATCCTTCAAAAGAGTTTTTTTCCTTAAAAAATTCTGTGAAAGTGTTCATGTACAGTTTTAAAATTCTATGGGTATCTCAAAAAAGAACTCAGATGTCTAGAATTTTCAGCCTTGAATTCTGGGTTCATGGTCTCAATACATTTTGACAATGAAAATCTAAAAAGGGTGATCTGACTAGGAGAAGGTATTCCCTACATAGTGGTTTATGGAGCAAGAATGCCTGTGAGAGCCAGTTCTTACTCTCATTTGACGAGGACTGAATATATGGTATGCAAAGAAATCAATCTAAACATAAAAACACAACTCATCAAGAGAAGGAGAGAGACTGACTCCTTGTTGAACTATTCCCTGCATGATGGAAATAGTCTTTGGGTGTTGGGCTCTTTCTGAATTGAGGTTCTTTCTGTTTGGGCCTAAGCAGTTATATTTTTAGTATCATAACTCCTCTATTAGAAACATGTTAATTAATTGAAATTCTTTCTTCTGGCTTTGTGTTACGTAAAGTAATAAAAATCAGTTATCATTAAGGTTTGGTGCTTCATATGTATTTTGCTTTGTCATTACTCAAACTTTACCCTGAAACCAAGAGTTTCATAATTATGTAACCATATACTTTAACATTCTCCTGTATCAGCAGTTTTTTCTTCTTTTCCCTTTTACAGTCTGGAATTATAACAGTTACCAATTTAGACACAGTGAGTGACGTTATCCATATGGCACTACCAGTGCTAGGATTAAGTGTAAGTAATCTGAAAGATACTTTGAGTTAAATAACAACTTTGGTTTTTGAGATGAATATATTTTCCCTTTGATCCAGATACATGCACACATGCTTACAGTGTATATTTGTAAAATACAGTTCCGGGCAAAGAGACCAATTGTAGGCAGCAATATATTTTGTCCCCAGAACCATGTGCACATGTGGGAATGGAAAACGTCGGAGATGTATTTGTCTATGTATGGGTATTGCTCTTCTGTTCCGATTTTAAATTTCATGTGAACTGAAAGCCATAATTTAATGAAATTGGAGTATAATTTCAGATTGCTATTGTCATGTATTTTATTTTTTTTGTGTGTATATATATAAATGTATATATACACACACACACATATATACACACAAAAATATCTTACATGCTTCCTAATAACCTTGTCTGTTGGATTGCTATTTCTGTATATTCTGGTTTCTCCAATCCCACACCTATCATCTCAGTGTACACAAACCTAATAGACATGTCTAGTTGAATTTTTTTTTTAATTTTTGAGGGTCGGAGAGGACAGAGATAGCAAGAGGGATGAAGACAGACACAGAGAGAGGAAGACACAGAAATACATAGAGAGGGTGCTCGCCTCTGTTGGTTCAATCTCTGGATGCCCACAGCACCTAAGGGTGGTCTGAAGCTAAGGTCTGGATGCAGGAGTACGATTCAGGTACCCCACGTGGGTGGCAGGAACCCAGTTACTTGAGAATTCATAGCTGCTTCCCAGAATGCACATTAGCAGGGAGCTGGAATCAGGACCTAGAACTTGGATTGGAACCCAGCTATTGTGGCGTGAGTCTCAGGCATCTTCAAACCACCATGCTAAAATCTCACTCCTTATAAATTTGGACATGAAGAACACCTGCATAAAAGCTGTATGCCTTAGATGCTGATTCAGGGAATGATATATCTGGTGCCTCTAATAAATTATTAAAGAGCAAGATAAGAGTTGAATGAAAGCTTGCTCTTCGGGGAATGTGTGTGCACACCACATACATGTCTTTTTTAAAAACTTGTTTTATTTGAGAGACATAGACAGACAGAAGAGTTTATGTCTATGGTTTCACTCGACAAGTGCCTACAGCAGCAGTAGAGCTGATGCCTGGAGCTGAGAACTTAATCCAGGTCTCTTGTGTAGATGATAGAAAGCCAGCTAAATCCAGTAAAACACAGCATTCTTCAAAGAGACTGGAGATAGCTGAGAGTGGAATGATCAGGATTAGACTTACCTTTACTAGTGAAGTGGCATAAATATGATTCTTTATTCCTTAGGTCACTTGGGATAATAGCATTGTGATCCTTGTCAAAAGTCATATGGCATGAATCTGGGGTGTAGTCTTGGAGGCTCAGAAAGGGACCGAAGTTATTTCGGTCAGTCCTGTTAACTCGAATAGCATTGGCACTGGTCCCAATTATTTTCTTGTTTGGAAATGTAGAAATGCTAAAGAAATACATCCTTGATCTGGCTAAAAAGCCCATGAGAGTTTCTCAGGCATGGAAAGCCAAGACACTGTGGCAAAAAAAATGACCTAAATGGAAGATCTCTGTGAGTGAGATCCCAGTGGAAAGAACAGGCCATCAAAGAAGGAGGCACCTTTCTCTGAAGGGAGGAGAGAACTTTCACTTTGACTCTGGCCTTGTCTAATAAGGCCGGAGTTTGTGAACCCAAGAGGTTTCCATAGCCTTGGCAGCTCATGACAAGAGCCTCGGGTGATTACTGACGTCATAAATAAGAGTGTCAACTGTTAAATCAATAATAGGAGTCACTGTGCACTTGCTGCCCATGTAGGATCTGTGTTTTTAATGTGTTGTACTATGTGAATGAATGGTAAGACTTATCTTCAAACAGTACTTTATGCTTTGTATGTCTGTGTGGGTACAAAGTGTTGAAATCTTTACTTAGTATATACTAAGTTGATCTTCTGTATATAAAGAGAATTAAAAATGAATCTTACTGAAGAGTTGGTTGGGAGAGGGAGTAGGAGATGGGATGGTTTGCGAGTGGGAGGGTGGTTATGGGGGGAAAATGCTTTCAAAATTTATATTTATTAAAGTTTTCTAAAAAACAAAAGAAATACATCCTTGAAGTATGCCCTGACAAAGACTTGTGATACTTAGTTCTTTTTGTCTCTAAGGGCTCAGAAATGGACTACCAATTGTGGGTCTATTCAAACCAGAGAAAGACCTCTTACCCGCTCATCGGTAAGTGTCCAGCAAAATAAAAAATGAAATGTATTGCTTCAAAATGGTAACTATTAATTTCCAGACTATGCATTGTTTGTTCTTAAGCTTAAATATCTTTACAAGGGAGAAAACAACCTCATGTAGTCAGTACTCATTTATAAAAGGAATTGCCAAGTGTATACTCTACCCTGGGTGCCTGACAACATATCTTCATACAGCAATTTAAGTTGTAGTTGGAAAAGAAACTGAAGTTTTATTCTCTGCTTTTCCATGTGGATAGCACAACTGTCTTGGAATAGTCCTTTTTTTTTTCTTTTTTTGTAATGAAATGAAAATGGGGTCGAATTTCATCTCTCCAAACATTTGATTGATGCCCATATACTGGTTTGTATTCCCCTTTCCATTTCTAGTCTCATAGGTAATCTCTATTTTTAAGTCTTGCAAAATCTGTCAGGTCTATGTCCAAGTATACCACTCTCCCTCCTCCTTCCTTTCTTATTCTTTCTTTTAAGTTTTATAATAACATACTTTCAGTTTACTTTAAAATCATATGCTTAACCCTCCACTAAGTAAAAAATTTACCAGTAGTAAGAAAGAACAACAACACTGTTCTAAATAGTAGAGGAACAGGTTATTATTTACAGACAAGGGCTTTAAACAATAATCACATCTCAAAATGTGAATTTTACTCATATACATTAAATTTTTGTACTCTATTTGGTACCACAGATCAAGGAAAGCATATGATATTTGTCTTTTTGGGACTGGCTTATTTAACTAAATATAATGGTTTTCCGATGCATCCATTTTCTTGCAAAAGACAGAATGTTGTTCTTTTTTGTGGTTGAATAGTATGTATATAGCACATTTTCTTTATCCAGTCATTGGTTGATGGACAGTTGGGTTGATTTTATATCCTAGCTATTGTGCAATTGAGCGACAATAAACATGGGGGTACAGATAACTCTTTCGTGCACTGATTTCCTTTCCCTTGGTAAATTCCCAGGTGTGGGATGGCTGGGTCACATGATAGGTCTATTTTCCTGTTTTTGAGGAATCTTCATACTGTGTTCCATAATGGCTGTATTAATCTACATTTCCACAGATGTGTATTAGGGTACCTTTTTCCTACGTCCTCACCAACATTTATTGTTTGTTGATTTCTGCATGAAAGCCAATTTAATTAAGGTAAGGTGAAACCTCATGGTGGTTTTGTTTGCATGTCTCTGGTAGCTAGTGATCCTGAGGATTTTTCTTGTGTCTCTTGGCCACGTGAATGTCCTCTTTTGAAAAATGCCTGTTCAAGTCCTTTGAGCATTTTGTAGCTGGGTTGCTTGTTTTGTTGTTGTTGAGTTTCTTGAGCTCTTTATAGATTCTGGATCTTAATCCTTTATCTGTTGTATAGTTTGCCAGTGTTTTATTCCATTCTGTCGGTTGCTTCTTCACTTTGTTGAGTGTTTCCTTTGTAGAAGCTTCTTACTTTGATGTAATCCCATTTGTGTATTTTTGCTTTGATCTCCTTGCTTCCAGGGTCTTTTTCAAGAGGTGTTTGCCTATGCCAGTGTCTTGCAGAGGTTCTCCAATGTTCTCTAGCAGTTTGATGGTATCATGTCATAGATTGAGATTCTTGATCCATTTTGAGTGGACTTTTGTATAGGGTATATAGGTATATAGGTAGGGTTCTTACCTCATACTTCTGCACATGTATATACAACTTTCCAGCACCATTTGTTGAAGATACTGACCATTCTGTAGGTATTGATTTTAGCTCATTTGTCCAAAGATTAGTTGGTTGTACATGTTGGATTGGTTTATGAAGATTCTATTCTGTTTCATTGATCTATGTATTTATTTTAGTGTCAGATCCAAGCTGTTTTGATTATTGTAGTATGCTTTTTTAAAAAAAGATTTATTTATTTATTTACTTATTTGAAAGTCAGAGTTTCACAGAGAGAGGAGGGGCAGAGAAAGAGAGAGATCTTCCATCCGATGGTTCACTCCCCAGTTGGCCACAACGGCCGGCGCTGTGCTGATCCAAAGCCAGGAGCCAGTAGCTTCTTCCAGGTCTCCTACGTGGGTGCAGGAGCCCAAGGACTTGGGCCATCTTCTGCTGCTTCTCCAGGCCATAGCAGAGAGCTGGATTGGAAGTGCAGCAGCGGGGTCTTGAACCGGCATCCATATGGGATTCCGGCACTTTAGGCCAGGGTGTTAACCCACTGCACCACAGTGCTGGCCCCTGTAGTATGCTTTTAAATCTAGTATTGTAATGCTCCCAGTTTTGCTTTTGTTGTTTAGTATTGTTTGAGCTTGTTGGGCTCTCTTGTTTTTCTGTATGAATTTTAGCATCATAGTCTCTAGATCTGAGGAGAATGCCTTTGGTATTTTCATTGGATCACATTGAATCTGTAAATTTCTTTCTGTCATATGGACATTATGATGATAAGTCTTCTGATCCATGAACATGGAAGATTTTTCCATTTTTCTCTGTTTTCTATTTCTTTAATGCTCAATAATTTTCATTGTAGAGATCTTTCACCTTCTTGGTTCAGTTTATTTCAAGGTGTTGACATTTTTGTAGCTATTGTGAATGGGACTGATCTTACCAGTTCTTTGTCAGGCTTGGCATTGTCTGGGTACACAAAGTCTATTACTTTTTTGCATTGATTTTATATCCTGCAACTTTACCAAGCTCTCTTATGAGTTCCAGTAGTCTTTTAGTGGAGTTTCTGGTTCCCCTGTGTTTATGAATGTGTGTGTGTGTGTGTGTGTGTACATGCATGCATGTCATCTGCAAACACATATATATTTATTGTGAAATTATGTCAAGAAGTTATTTGAGCATGATTAAAAATTAAGATAATCACATTCAAACTCCTAAAAGGTTTTTTGATTAACAAACATGTACAGTTCAGCCATTCTTTTTGTTGAATTTTCTAGCACTTGATCTTGAGGTTGTTGATAAAAACATTATACTTCTCCTAAAATAGTTGTTGAATTAACCTATATAAAGAAGAAACCATTCATGAATCATCATGTGTTTCAGTGTCTCTCACAGAAACAAGCCCTGGAAAGGAAGGGAGGCATACTATTTGTCATAGACTTTGTAATATAATGCTGGTGATTTCTATGAAAATCAAACAGTATTACTTACCTGGGCAATCTTCCTATTCTTCTTTCAACAGTCATGTAAAGGAACTAATGTGTAATTTATAATGTTTTCAAGTCACTTACAAAATTTGAAAATAAAGTTTCTGTTCTTTCCGAAAAGGGGAGGGTTGCGGGTGGGAGGGACATTATTGGGGGGAAGCCATTGTAATCCATATTCTGTACTTTGGAAATTTATATTCATTAAATAAAAGTTAAAAAAATTCAGGAATTGCTAAATACATCTGAGGACAAAAGCCAACCACCTATTTTATGATGTTTCTCCTTAATTTTGACATCTTTGTAACAAGATAGCAATAGAGTTAGTGTGAAAATCAAATACTGTAAATTGGCCGGCGCCGCAGCTCACTAGGCTAATCCTCTGCCTGTGGCGCCATCACACCGAGTTCTAGTCCCGGTTGGGGCGCCAGATTCTGTCCCGGTTGCCCCTCTTCCAGGCCAGCTCTCTGCTATGGTCTGGGAGTGCAGTGGAGGATGGCCCAAGTCCTTGGGCCCTGCACCTGCATGGGAGACCAGGAAAAGCACCTGGCTCCAGCCTTCGGATCAGTGCAGTGCGCCAGCCGCAGCGCGCCAGCCGTGGCGGCCATTGGAGGGTGAACCAACGGCAAAGGAAGACCTTTCTCTCTGTCTCTCTCTCTCACTGTCCACTCTGCCTGTCAAAAAAAAAAAAAAAAATCAAATACTGTAAATGAATTTATTGAGTAGATGGCATTTGTTTATGTAAAATGTTTTTTCTGGAGGATGATTTGGACCCGAACAATGGCATGCACTGTGACTGGCTCCAAGAAATCCTAAGAGTGTATCTGTCGTTGGTGACTCCTAGCGGTCATTATGGATGTGTGTTTAATATGCTCTCAGTTCCTGATCATCTTTTTCTGTCCTGGTTATGCCGATGGTTTGGTTTTGTTAATATTGCAGTTGTAGAAGCTTCTTTTACCATGAAAGAGACAAGTTGCTATAATTCTTGCTCTGAACAGGGTATTAATGTCCCATGAAATGGAAAATTTAACTAATATGTCAGAAATTGAATAAAGGGAGCTTTCACTTTGTTGTTGAAAAGAAAATCCCTTTGACAGCACAGAATCGTGAAAACATGTTCGAAGTTTAGTTTTTGAGAGGCAAAAATAGACACAGAATGTTAAATTGCTAGTTCTATCCTTAAAGGTCCACGAAGATTGGAGGTGTCCTAGGGCAAGGGCCAGGAGCCAGAAGGCAGGTCATCAGTCCAGTCTTGCACGTGAGTGGCAGGAACATCAGTGTTCAAGACAACAGCTCTGCATCTTAGGGTCTGATCTGCATTTGCAGAGAGCTTCAGTCAGGATCCATGATCAAGGACCAAACCAGGTGGTCCAATGTGGGACAGAGGTGTCTTCATGGACATCCCAATTGCTAATACCCACCAGGAGCAGAGGATCTTGAGAATTTCTTGGGTTGCCAGCAATTTAAAAATGAGAGAGGAAAGCAATGACATTACATGTACTCCGTGAACATCAGTTGGTAGGATGGCTCTGGGTCTCTAACACTCTGCAGCACTCCCTCAGCTAGTGAGCTGTGAGGGGCTCCCGAGAGGGCCAAAGTAGGAGGGAAGTGTAACAGCAGACCATGGCCCCAGTGCTCTTGAGAATCACAGGCTATAAAACTGACAGAGAAATGAAGTCTCTTTTCATGATCTAACATCGTGGGAGAGAGATTCTAGGTTACAGCAACTCATGACATATATGGCCCAATCATTTAAAAAATGCAGACCACTGATGTTTACTCATGTTTACTCATATGAGGACGTTAAAAATCTAGTTGGAGTCAAGGCAGATTTTAGCAGGCCTTCTACTTTACAACGGAAATAACAAGTCATCAGTGTGCAGTGCACTGAGGGATCTTGGTCTTCTAAGCTAGGCAATGGGCTACTACTTCTGTTTGCGTTGGAAAGGTCCTCTGCCTGGGTGCCTGCTTTATGCAGTGCCTCCCCAGAGAGAGCACACCTGATGCTCACTCCCAAGACACAGCTCTCTTCCTTGCAGAAGCCCAGGAGAACTTGAGCTGTCCCCGGTGCTGTACCCACACTGACAACAAGGCATGTTTGATCATACCTGTCACCATCAGCCTGATGTGTATTGAGATTTTTCTCTGCCTAGGGCATGAGTGTCCATATGCTATCCAAGCAAGCTACCATCGAGCTGCCTTTCATAATCAGGAACCGGGGAAGTCCACCTCCGCCCTGAGCATGGAGGATCCCGTTCTGGAGATCTTGTCTGATGGAGGGATCCAGTTCGTGTTGAAGCCCAGGCACACGGCTAAAAGGCAGCGCCGGTGCGGTAAGTCTAATTTCCAGCAGGGTTCTGCTCTCTGCTCATCCATGCATTCCTGAGAAAAAAATTCATGACAGAGAGCTGTTCTCCATGAGGGAGGAGGTGTGCATAAGTACAGGGACCCAGTACTCACCAAGAACCAGGCTTAGAGAAACTGTTCAAAGTCAGAACCCATCTCACTTCCAGGAGGATTGTGGTGGTTCTTCTACATTAGAACTTTTGTCTCCTCTGGATACCCTGAGCATTTGCTCCATAAAATAATGCATGCACAAACTTATGTGTCTGTAGAGAGAAGTTTCTTGTGGCCTGGCATCATGGTACAGTGGGTTAAGCTGCATCCTGCAATCCACATCAGAGCATTGGCTTGAGTCCTGGCTCTCCCAGTTCGGATGAAGCTCGCTGGCTTTATCAGAATGTGCCCGGGAAGGAAGCAGAAAATGACCCAAATACCTGGGTCCTTTGTCTCGCATGTGGGAGACCCAGGTGGAGTTCTAATCTCCAGCCCTGTCCCTGGTTGTTGTGGCCATTTGGGAAAAAAACAAAGTGATGAAAGATGTCTTTCTCTGTGTGTTATTCTGTATTACAAATAAATCTTTACAATGAAGAGCATCATGTGTGAAGGCCTGGAAATGAAGACTAAGCATTCCAGAGGGTAACCCTGAACCTGGAGTGAGAGCAGGAAGTAATCAATGTACTGCATGCCTTAGACTTACCTTATATGGAAGATCTCCAGGATGGTGAGAAACTGTGGCATTGAATTTGGATCTCTTCTGGCTTGGGCTGAAGTGGCTAGGGGGTTGCTTCCTGAATTGATCTCTTCATTATGCCCACGGCATGCTGACTTCCTCCAGGCTTCAGATGCATATCTAGACCAGACATGGACTGAACAGTTACGATCAGGGATGTTTCAGCTTTTTGCTTTCCAGTCTCTCCCTACTTGTCAATATTCTTTTGAGAGACCTTTCTCTGAAGAACAGTTTTTAGTAAGGTGGGAAATATTGTGGCAAGAATATAATGATTTCCACTGTGAATGGTGTTCGTACTTTTCTTGTGAGGATATTCTGTGATTTATATAGCTTATAAATGTGTTTTTGGTTGTAATTTTGAGCATATAGCAATATTCTATAAATGTTGCTCCTATGCAAGATTGTGAATCTGAACTTTGTAAACATCCACAACCCCCATTTGGGCAAGAGAATGCCACCACCAGAAGTATCGCCAGGAGTGTCAGAAAGGCTCAGTGTTTTTGAAGTGAGCTTGTTGAATTATGCAACGTGTCTCATGGAAAATGGCTGCTGTTTCCATTGGTCACAGAAGCAGCATGCGCTCTCAGTAAATAATGTACCTTATGAAAGCCTCAGCTAAGCACCGAAAGTATTTTTGTTTGAGAAAGATTGTAATGGCACTCATCTCTCTCTGTTCCCATATGTTCTGGATGTATAGATTCATATCAAGGTATGGAGCATGATGCTTCATTGCTTAGCTGTGTGACAACTAAGTAGTGGATTATGTCCCAATAGATTTTTAAATAATGAAATCAGGTGAGTCCTAGGTGTACCAGGTTGCGCACGAGTTAAACCATGTATTCTTGCCTGTTTTAAAGAAAGAGTTGGATATGGTAGTATGTATGAGCAGCCTCCTGCATTTGAGATGGCATTTGCTTTTTTCTTGTCTCCTTTTAAAAGGTGGAATTTTGAATGCTTGGTGTTGGATTACTTTGTGACTGCATGCTATCTGGAGAGTACTAACTAACCAGAAAGAGAATGGAGATAAAGTTTACTTTAGGGTGAGGAAACTGATGTGTGGGATCCCTTACACCATTTGATTGTAAATGATTACAGAAGAAAGTAATTCTCTTCACGGTTGTGATGAGTTGTGTGCCATGCTGAGTAATACATTATATTAGTGCAATGAGGTGTAGATAGCATCATTCTTAAACAAGTTGAGTCAAAGGAAAGTCCAAAGAATTGAGTAACTGGACTGGCTGATGAAGTGGCACATCTTGGAGCCTATCCTGGCTTCCTCAGTGATATAGCACCATGAGGATTGCCCTCCCTTGTTTGTCTGATGGTGATGCATTCAGGGGCCCAGAAATGCCAAGAAGATGGCTGATGAATGATATTTGGGGAGGGGGCCGGTGCTGTGGCACAGCGGGTTAAAGCCCTGGCCTGAAGCGCAGCTGTCCCATATGGGCACCAGTTCTTGTCCCGGCTGCTCCTCTTCCGATCCAGCTCTGTGCTATGGCCTGGGAAAGCAGAAGAAGATGACCCAAGTCCTTGGGCCCCTGCACCCATGTGGGAGACCCAGAAAAAGCTCCTGGCTCCTGGCTTCGGGTCAGCATAGCTCTAGCCGTTGTGGCCATCTGGGGAGTGAACCAGTGGATGGAAGTCCTTTCTCTGTCTCTACCTCTCTCTGTAATTCTGTCTTTCAAATAAATAAAATTAATCTAAAAAAACAGATTGTTTTTGGCAACTTCACCCATCTGTCTATCACACTGCACCTTGACTCCTCTGGTGCCTTTTATGATATTCAGCATAAATCGGTCATTTAAGAAGAAAAGTTTAGGTGCCTTCTTAAGAAAACGTGCACAGCTGAGCAGTAGATACTCCAAACTCATGTTTTCCTTGGTGATCCTCTTGTCTGTGGAAAATTCCTCTTCAGCGTTCAGCTGGCAGAGCTTGATGGGTAGCTAAAATATAGGCTGTATAGCTTGGCAGGGTGGCACAAGGAACAAGGCCCCACGGGATCCTGCCACTCATTTGGGAACCAAGTGAAGAAGGTGAAATCAAATCACCTGGGGAACAGGTTAAGCTTTGTAACCCTGAAGAGTGAGGGAGGTAGAGGCTGGTTGAGTGATATCAGGGAGCTTGTGTCATGAAGTGCAGATCTCTTTGATGGGAGTGAGTTGCTGGTGGTTGGGCATTCAGACTACCAAACAGGAAATCTCATAGGGAAAGGTGACTTAGCATGAAGTAGATTATGAGACTCCACTTAGTTTGAATGTCAACTGTATTTTTTTGCTTTTCAAATGAGTTCTGACACCTGACTCCACTGGGTAAACTTAAGAGGATGTGTATAACTCAATGTGAGGTGTCTCATTATGCAAAAAAATAAAAAGCAAAAACTGTAGGTAGCACTGCCAGAATTGAACCTGAGCAGCTTCCTCAAGTCTTTATATTTCATTTCTGGTTGATGAATTGATTGTTTGATTTGAGAGACCATCACACACATGCACAAGAGAAGGAGAGAGAGAGAGAGAAAAGAAGAGAAGAGTTGAGTTGAGTTTCCTATCCTCTGATTCACTCCCTAAATGTCAGCCGTGGCCATGGGCCAGGGACAGAACTGGAATCTGGTATTTACATCATGTCTCCTTTGTGACAGGCAGGACTAGAGCTGGAATTTGGGAACTTATTCCATGTTGTGCTTGTGAGAGGTAGGAACCCAAATTTGTTAGCCATGCATACTGCCTCAGAGGGCCTGCATTTGCAAGAAGCTGGAATTGGGAGCCAAAGATGGACATCAGGTCCAGATGCTCTGATATGAGCCTAGGGCATCTTAACAATTAGGCTAAACACCTGATTCTAACTGCCAGCTTATAGGAAATTGGGAAGAAAAGTTCATGAACGTCACGTGGATGGTACTAGCCAATTTCAGATCGTAAGCTCTTGTACACCACAAATGGATCAGTTTCTGTCTTTTCTAAGGCTGGAAACAGTCACCTGTCAAATGGAAAGGGTGGAAACAGAATCTGTCAATGATCCTCTACAGCTAATGGTCTCACTTTCTCCTCAGGCTTTCCCACAAACTGTCTGTCTTGCTGGGGCATTACCAGAAGCCATAATGACCTGCCCCAGGACTCCCCTCCTGCTATTTCGGTGCCAACACTCCTGAGAGTGTCTGGTGTTGAGGACCTGACCCTCACACTCTGGGTAGGTATCATTTTGATCTTCTGAAGCCCTCCTCAGGAGTGAGCGTTCTGAGGGCTTGGTGTCATCATCCAAAAGTGTTTCAAATGAGGCCATCATTTGTCAGTCCCTGGCTTTGGCTGACATGCCTTCTTAATGTGACCTCAAAGAAGAACAGTCAGCTCAGTTATCGTGGTCTTACTTCAAAGGCAACAGGAGAAAGAACCGTTCCGTTTATTCTGCTGGTTTCAGCGATGTTACCCAGTCACCTGCTCACACACAGCAAAAGGAATGTTTCTGAATCTCTTGGAGTCGACATCCCCCCATGTTCCCCTTTTAGCCTCTTCCTTGAAGTGTTCCTTCATTTCCTTTTTGTCTAGATGACTCAAACTTAGAACTCAACGTCCCTCACTGTGGGCGTGGTTTGTATTTCAGATGATTAGATGGATCACCTGCCATTTATGTATCCTTCTATCATAAGAGAATGTGTCAGAGGAAAGCCACAGAACGTGGCCTATGTTATTTCCCAGGAGGGCATTTAAGAGTTGGCACATTGATTGTCCAGCACATCTACATACACTATGCTAGATGTAGGGCATTTTTTGCGAGGTGGGGAGGAATGTATCAAGTTAGTTCCATGCTAGATGGTGCCCCAGCCCTTGCAGCATTCACAAGTTGAAGGAGTTGCTAGGATCCTCATCACTGTGACATCATTCATGGATAAAAGGAAAGCATGAGTAAGGTGATGTCCTATGCCCAAGGTCTCATGAAAAGTAAGGGACCTAATAGATGACAGATTCCTGGAGATACCTGACTGTGACACTCCTGTTCCCCTCTTGGCATGAAGATGAGGCAGAAGGACATGAAAGTCAACAAGTTTGGCAACAAGTGTGGCAACGAGATTTTCCTAGTTGGGAAAGGCCATCAGTACTAGGAAATAATGAGAACAGCATGGTAAAACAGGAGAGAGTGATTCACTAAAAGCTTGAAGCAGAGAAGTTTGGTGTACAAGTTTCATTCCTTGAAAAGGAAACTAGGTTAAAGCCAGCATTCAAAACAATTTAGTGGGTGGACACAGATCAGATGGATGGGTTGAACATATATTTAGAGACACTGAACAAAATTTTCTTCCCTCACTTCAGCTGCTGCTGTGTCAGTTCCCATACTCTTCTCTACAGGGGGCTAGCTTTTGTTCTGGGCTTGTGGATATGAAATGTCCTTTAATTAGTTTTCCTTTTTCTTTTCCACAGGAAGTGATTCGTATTATCAAGCAGAAAGGGCCAAAGACAGAGAATATTTTTCAAAAAGTTGGTGACATAAAGTCATTTATAGCCCTAAAGGAAAGATTTAACACAGGAGATAGAGGCGACTGGGGCAATGAATCGCCACTTGTGTTAGCAACACTGTTAAAGGTAGGGGGATTCTGGCATCATCTATGCACAATATGGAAGCTGTGTGATGGGTTTCATTCCTCGTGACATCTCAAGAAGAGCAGTAGGCCTAATCAGTTAAGCGTCTGAGAAACTGAAAAACACATCAGAAACTCCAGGTTGTAGGCAGCTACTCCCTTCATTGGACAGACTCTGCTTGTTAGATAGCTTTCCCAGTCTTCAGACTCCATGCTTGCTGTCCTCATCTGAATGCTCCATGTAGAATTATGCTAGCATAGTTATAATTGCCCAAGCATCTTCCAAATAAACCCTGGTTATTCATATAGAATTTTGGCCAGTACAAATCTCCTGCATTTGCCAGATTTGACAGTGTCTTCCTAATGACATCAGAGTTTCCCAAAGAAACTTTATTTGAAATTTTGAAAACCATTCTAGGTGTTTTCCACAATAAGCAAACATTGCTCTTAAAATGAATTAAAAATACATACAAATGCCAAGAAAATTCCATTCTTTTCATTGCCATTCTTTCCCCTGTCTCTTATGCCTTTGCTTCACACGTGGTGTCAGGACTCTGCTATTTGGAGCTGCCTTCATTTTGACTACTGTTGGCATCTTATGTTCATTTCCATTGTACTTAAGCCAATACTCCTAGTTATAGTTACATAGTAACGAGCCCCAGCACAAAGCTCAGCTTGTGAATCTGACTTTGAAAGTGTTGCAGCAGGCAAAGCTAGGTTAGAAGTTTTAAAATGTTGGGCCTGTGTTTGGCATAGCAGGGTATGCTGGGGGTTGGAATGCTGGCGTCGTATATCAGAGCCCCAATTCAAGTCCTGGCTGCTGTGCTGCTGATCCAGCATCCTGTTAATGCATCTGGGAAGGCAGTGGAAGATGGCCAAGGTACTGAGGTTCTTGCCTCCCATGTGAGAGGCAAGGATGATGCTCTTGGCTTCAACCAGGGTCTGAACTGGATATTGCAGCCATTCATTTATGTAGGATCTCTCTCTGTCTCTCTTCCTCATTCATGAACAGTGTGCGTGTATGTGCATGTGTGTCTCGCTCTCTGTGCCTCTGCCCATTGAGCACAGAATTCTCTTTTTTTATTTATTTGAAAGTCAGAATTACAGAGAGAGGAGAGGCAGAGAGAGAGAGAGAGAGAAGTCCTCCATGCGATGGTTCACTCCCCAATTGGCCGCAATGGCCAGAGCTGCAGCGATCTGAAGCCAGGAGCCAGGAGCCTCCTCTGGGTCTCCCACGTGGGTGCAGGGGCCCAAGGACTTGGGCCATCTTCCACTGCTTTCCCAGGCCATAGCAGAGAACCTGGCCGGAAGAGGAGCAGCCGGGCCTTGAACCGGCACCCATACCATATGGGATTCTGGCACTTCAGGCCAAGGCGTTAACCTGCTGCGAAACAGTGCCATCCCTGAGCAAAGAATTCTAAAATCCAAGGTGATGCAAAATACACATGTATTTCAAAATTGTATGGTAAAATCACAAGTATCCAGGTACATTTCTGTAAGGGAAAATTGAATTGTTGGTCATTTCAGCAGCTGTGAAACAAAAATCTGGCAATGCCGTAATCACTACAAAAAATATCCTTACATTCTTTGAAACGCTCAGTACACTTGCTCTTTCCTTACCCTCCATCAATGCTTGGCCACATGTTAAATGGTTACACTTCTGTAATGACTTCCGGGCCCACACGTACATCACTCAGATCATAAAAATATACACTAGGTTAGACAGTCACATGTTTGTGTTGTTTCTGTTGTACATGAAGTTGATGTCATTTTTCAACAAGATATAGTGGTTACCCCTCTGAGGACTTTGGAGTCTGATTTTTGATAAATCACCTGGAGAGTTGGTCCAGGCTAAACATAAATACAGTCATGGAGTTGGATTTGCCATTGAGCTCCCTAGAAGCAGAGGTGCAACAGCAAATCGTCTTCACATGATCTCCTTGGCTCACAGTGTGACTTCCACAACATGCCCCGTCTAGTCATCCTGCAGCACAGGGAAAGCCAAGAGAGGACACATACCCCACGTGCATGGAAGTAAGTACCCAGCAGACAAAGCTGCTCCTGAGCCATCCCAGACTTCCCCATCATTCAGAGCTCCACACATACTGGACATACTCCTTGGGAAACAGTCAAAGGCTGTAACTACAGTGGGAGAGTATTGGACGCCAGTGACATAGTCAGGGTATAAGAGGGCTTGGATTTTGTCCGTTTTCTTCACTGTTCTATCCCCAGTAGTCCAAACTGGATATGACATAAATGACTACTCAAGAACTACTAGAATGAGTGAGCAATGTCTGGATTATGAACACAACACTTACTGAGAGGCATTTCCTACACTCACTGCTATTGAAAAGTGTCATGGGCCATATAGTGAGACCAGTGGAAAGAAAGCTAGCAAGGGGATATGAACTGGAAATATAAATCCCACCATCTTCTGGTTATATTTGTAAAGAGTTGATCAATGAGCTAGTGAAAAGGAAAGTAGAATGAGGCTATTAGGAGAGTATTTTGCCCCAGGGAACAGACATAGTCAAAATGTCCAGTCCTTACTTCCTATTTTCTGTGAGTACATGTGTGTATATTTAGTTCATTTGGTTCGGAACCTTTGCTGCTAAGACTTAAAAGGATTAGTCTGAAATCAAAATGTGAAGTATGTATGTTTACATGTCCACAGTGCATAATATGATTTAGGATGACCCATAAGCAGATTTGTCAGTTTGTACTATTTTGCTAAAATATAGGCAAAGAAGACTATATAGATTTGTTTTATATATTTGAATGGCAGAGTGAAAGAGAGAGACACGTATGGGTCTGGCAATGTAGCGCAGTGCATTTACCTACTACCTGCAACACAGACAACCTGTATGTGCACTGATTTGAGTCCCAGCTGCTTGGTTCTGGATGAACTTACCACGAATGGACATGGGAAGGCAGCCAAAGATGGCCCAAATACTGTGGTCCCTGCCACTCACATAGCAGAGCTGGGTGGAGTTCCTGGCTTCCGGATTCAATGTGGACATTTGCAGAGTAAATTCGTGTATGGAAGATTCCTCTCTGTCTCTGTTTCCCTCACTGTCTCTCTGTTTCTTTCTCTCTCTCCTCTCTCCCTCTCTCCCTCTCTCCCTCTGTGTGTGTGTGTTTCAACTCCATCTTTTACATAAATAAATAAGCTTACAATGACACAAACACACACACATGCTCATACAGAGATGTCAATCTTCCACATGTTTTCTGAGTGGCCCAGGTTGGGCTGGGCCAACCTGAAGCCAGAACCGAAAACTTGTTTCAGGTCTCTGAAGTAGGGCAGAGCCCCAAGTACTTGGGCAGTTACCCACTGCTTTCTCGGGCACTTTAGCAATGTGCTGGATCAGAAGTAGAGCAGCCAGGAATTGAAGTGACCCTCTGATAAGAGTTGATGGCATCCCTGGCAGCAGATTAATCCACTATGCCATAATAACTACCCTCCAAAAGATGATTGAGACAATAAGATGAGGTTTTTCTTCCCTTCCAAAACTTCTCAGACTGTGTACACCTCTAGAGTAAGTCAGAAGAAATGGAAGCACCCGTTTCTGCATGTACACAATGGTGGGAATTAGAGGCCAAACTCTATGGAGGTCACAGTTTGAACGTCTAGAGAAAAAGCGGAGATTAAATGAAATATTGCAATTAAATGTTTTCTTTGTAATTTCTCAAGTCTATATTTGCCAACAAATTGATATAACTTCTTTTTTAATCTCTATAAGGAGTGTCTTCGAGCCTTTCCTGGCACTCTCTTTTCAACCGACCTCTATGATCAGTGGCTGGATGTTCTTGATAAAGGGAATGACGAGGAGGCCAGAGACATCCAGAGGTGATTCTATATAATTGGTACTGCATTCCAGACATGCCTCAGAAGGCAACCGACATAGTCTGAGAAAAAGATTTTCTGCTCTCGAGCATGAACCACTAGAAGAGTGCACATTGTGAAGAGGGTTCTTGTAGTCCCACACACCACAGCCAGAATCAGAAGACATGTAGACTCTACCATTGTCATTGAGTTCTTATTTCTCCCCAAATGTTATTATGGAGTTGTTGATATTGTACACATTCTGAATGTATGACATCGGTGGGGAGGAAGTCCGCTGGTGTCAGAGACATGCTACAAGAACAGTTGACCACTGGTCTGACCGTCATATTGTCAGAAGCAACTAAGTGCAGATCTCTGTGTGTGCTTATAGAATTGAAGTCAGTCAAGCGCTTTTGTATGTATTCATGCCCGGGATGTGTTTGTTCCATCACTGCTTTAGACTCTTGTCTTGAGGCAGCATTCTTGTACTATTACCTTTCAAAGAAGGGCAATGCTTTCAATTAATTGCTGTTGAATTTCCTCAGTAAGCTCTCACCTGAGAACATTCTGTAACACAACATCTGTTTTTAATATACCTGTGTTCAATTAGATATTTACAAAGTTATCCCAAATGAAAACACATTGTGATTTCAGCAAAAAAATCATAGGAATTTTTTTTAAGACTTACAGCTCCTTTTGTCTGTATTTTCATTGGATTATGTCAATGGCATTAAAACTACTGTATTTCCTTTTTTTTATCTACAAATTCCTGAGGAAAATGACTTGTTATAAGACTGCATTTTTTTGTGTTTAGGCTTTTAGCCCATCTGCCCAGAACTAACACAGCTCTCATAAGACACTTGTTTTCATCATTATATGCAATCTCATGTAATGCATCATACAATCAGATGACTACATCAAAGTTAGCTTTGTGCATCACCCCGAGCCTTCTGTGTGTCTGGCGATCTACTTCAAGAAGCCCAGCCCTCGAAGATGAAATAAGGAGAAAGGTAATGAGTACCCTGTTTGTTTGTGTTGAGGAGCACAGTCCCATTGGGAAAGTGAAAGTCAGGATTTGCATTCTGATGAGTTTGTGTTTTTTTTTTTTTTTTTTAACCGTGAAGACTTCCATTTTACCCCTCTACAGTGTCAAGGTCACTTATTCTATATTGGGAATTGTGGAAGGGTGGGGTGTTAAACAGGAAATTGATAGCAGTGAGTTACTTCTTTCCTATGTAGGAAACAGAAGAGTGATATGACTTAAACATGGAGAGAGTAGAAGCTCATGTAACGTGATAGAGGGAAACCAAGTTTTGGTAGTTGGGCAATCTAAGGTGCAGTTCTGTCTCTGTCACTGAGAGCCATGCAAACTTGAACCAAGTTTTCTTCATGGCTTCCTGAGCTGAGCAATGGCAGTGGTGATAATAGTGGTCAGTAGTGACACTGCCTTGTTTGCTTGGGCAAGATGAGCACACTTATCCTTCTACCAGTGACCTTCATCAACCTGCTGTGGCTCATTCAGAGAAATGTTTGTCTATAATTTCATCTCTGCTACTGGAATGTGAAGGTGAATCAAGGTTTCCGGAGCATTCTAGTGGGCCCATAACATCTCCAGTATAATCACAGCTCTTCGCAAGCTCAAGCAGAATGTAATGCTGGGTTGAGGCAGAGCCATGCTGGTGGAGAGACTTCAGCTAACCAAGCAGACAGTTTCTTTGCACTGACTCCTTTCACGTCAAAGGATCCACAAAGAAACTCTGCTTCTCAAGCTAAAGATAATTCACTTGAGAAGCACATTTCACATGTGTTCTTCTATCGAGTACTTGACATGTAGAATGATTACATCTTCACTTCAAACATACTGCATAGGTTAACTGACAATTCTCCTATTTTTCCCAAGGAGGGAGTGATATTAAAATATTAGCCATTCAACTAGGTCACAAAATACGTTGGTCTTCTAATGAGAAGTGTTTTTGGACAAGTTACATAGTATTCTTGAAAGTGTAACTGTCATTTATGAGATAAAACTGGTTCATAGGCCGGCGCCGTGGTTCACTAGGCTAATCCTCCGCCTTGCGGGGCCGGCACACCGGGTTCTAGTCCCGGTTGGGGCGCCGGATTCTGTCCCGGTTGCCCCTCTTCCAGGCCAGCTCTCTGCTGTGGCCCAGGAGTGCAGTGGAGGATGGCCCAAGTGCTTGGGCCCTGCACCCCATGGGAGACCAGGAGAAGCACCTGGCTGTTGCCTTCAGATCAGCATGGTGCTCCGGCCCCAGTGTGCTGGCCGTGGCGCCCATTAGGATGAACCAACGGCAAAAAGGAAGACCTTTCTCTCTGTCTCATTCTCTCACTGTCCACTCTGCCTGTTTAAAAAAAAAAATCTGGTTCGTATGTGTTAATGTCAAGTGCAAATTTTTGTTAGAATCCAGAATTGCACATTTCTGTGATGTTCACGGTTCACATAGTACTTGTGCTCCTAAATAGTCCAAGAGGAAAAGAGCACCCCATGTTCATCCTTTTGTGTCACAGATTTCTTTGGTGGAGTTTATGATTGCAAATTACCCCAGAATATTTAGAAAACACAAGAAGTCTAAAAAGAGCTGTATGAATTCCAAAAGAAACTTTGGAGAGAGTACCCGGCAAGTCATCGACACTTCAGGACAGAGTGCTGCTGCCCTAGGTGAGAGTTCCCTGAGGTGGGATCTTAAGGCAAGTGTGCCTTGTTCCCTAGGCGGAGGCAGGTGTGTTGCCTGAAAAGACCCTCACTCAGGCCAAGTGCGTTGTGTCTCTTCTTCTTCCGCAGACACCGAGCCCGGCACCCGGGAACCTCTGCCCGACGTGCCGACCTCACGCATGACCAAGAGAACCGAGCCTGACCATGGTAGGGGCCCGTGTGTCTTGTGTCCTCTGCCCCTGGGTGCCCGCTGGGTTGCCGGAGCTCCCTGAGCGAGAACGGGCTTTCCTCGTCCCTGCGGGACCGGGAAGCTGTCGCCAAGCGATTCCTCGTCCCGAAACGCTGGCCTGTGCTCTGGAGCCGTGGTGGCGTCCTCGGCTCTCTGCCCAGGACGGATGTGCTTCCTGGGGAGAGAGGGGCCGCAGTGCGAGTCAGGTGCTCCGAGATGGGGCCGTGTGTCCTCCCGGGTTCTCTCATTGGCTGCACGCTGCCTGGGGCTGCCTGCAAGTTGTCCGTTTCGTGCCCTTGTGGCCTCCTAACCCGTCTGGGAGGGGGGTGTGCTTCCTGTTCGCCACGTCTGCTCCTGCCGTGACCCCGTCTGGTGCAACACTCCCAGCCAGCATGCCCTGAGTTTCCACGGAGGCTGCGAGTGCAGAAGCCTCATGGGACCCGGCGTGGAGTGCCCCACTGCCCCTGGTGGCCCAGTGTGCGCAGGGGCCTTAGGCGCGGGCACCTTGGGCTCTGCAAGGATGGTTCTCTGTGCCTCTGCTTCTCCTGAGACGTCCTTGCCTTCCTCTTGGCTTTGGCTGGTCTCCGAGCAGAGCTCCCGGGGCAGCGTCCAGGAGGCGTGGCGGCTGCCTGAGGACCAGGCAGGCATCGATTTGCCCTCTGACGCTGGCACGAGCGTGTTCTCGAGCCGTGCCGTGCCGTGCCGTGCCGTGCCCTCAGACAGCTGGGGATTTGTCTGCCGTGTAGTCGGCCAGGCCAACAGGAGAATCTGACCCAGTGTCCTGGGTGGGCCGGTTGCCAGTCGTCCGCTCGTGGACAAGCCCAGACCCGGGCTGGCGTGTGTAGCTAGCCACGCTTGCCCGTCTGTCCTCCGTGGCCTGAGTGAGCGCAGATGAGAGAGGGCGCGGTTGCTTCGTCCGCTTTTTCTCCCCTCTTGCCCCGACGCGGGGAGCCGTCCAGCGGGGACTGGCTGGCCGGAGCCCGTGCTGGACACGGTGCTCCGTTGCTGTCCTGGAGGGCCCAGAGGATTGCTCGAGGTGTGCCCACCTGGCCCCTCCCCTGAGACAGGGGGCTGGGTGCCGTCAGGTTCTTTGTTGGCTCCCACTGGAACCCGGGGGTGGCGCTTGCCCAGTTCCTGGATCCTTTCACTTGCCCTTCCTCGTCGCCTTACCGTGGGGAAAGGAAGGGCCGCTCTTAGCCCGCGAGCCCTAGCCCAGGAGGGGAGCCCACTTGGAGGGTGGGGTGGCACCGGGCCTTGTGCGGCCCGACGCAGGGGGACTGCCCGCCCTGGCCCGGCCCCGGGTCCACCAGTTTCCCTTGGTCGGGATTCTTTGTGGCCTAGGCACACGCCCGTGCTGTCTCCGCACTGACCCAGGTACCCACAGTAGGCGTTGGGAGGTGTGGGGCCGGGAGAACATTGCTCTGCCTGGTTCCCTAGGCGGAGGCAGGTGTGTTGCCTGAAAAGACCCTCACTCAGGCCAAGTGCGTTGTGTCTCTTCTTCTTCCGCAGACACCGAGCCCGGCACCCGGGAACCTCTGCCCGACGTGCCGACCTCACGCATGACCAAGAGAACCGAGCCTGACCATGGTAGGGGCCCGTGTGTCTTGTGTCCTCTGCCCCTGGGTGCCCGCTGGGTTGCCGGAGCTCCCTGAGCGAGAACGGGCTTTCCTCGTCCCTGCGGGACCGGGAAGCTGTCGCCAAGCGATTCCTCGTCCCGAAACGCTGGCCTGTGCTCGGGAGCCGTGGTGGCGTCCTCGGCTCTCTGCCCAGGACGGATGTGCTTCCTGGGGAGAGAGGGGCCGCAGTGCGAGTCAGGTGCTCCGAGATGGGGCCGTGTGTCCTCCCGGGTTCTCTCATTGGCTGCACGCTGCCTGGGGCTGCCTGCAAGTTGTCCGTTTCGTGCCCTTGTGGCCTCCTAACCCGTCTGGGAGGGGGGTGTGCTTCCTGTTCGCCACGTCTGCTCCTGCCGTGACCCCGTCTGGTGCAACACTCCCAGCCAGCATGCCCTGAGTTTCCACGGAGGCTGCGAGTGCAGAAGCCTCATGGGACCCGGCGTGGAGTGCCCCACTGCCCCTGGTGGCCCAGTGTGCGCAGGGGCCTTAGGCGCGGGCACCTTGGGCTCTGCAAGGATGGTTCTCTGTGCCTCTGCTTCTCCTGAGACGTCCTTGCCTTCCTCTTGGCTTTGGCTGGTCTCCGAGCAGAGCTCCCGGGGCAGCGTCCAGGAGGCGTGGCGGCTGCCTGAGGACCAGGCAGGCATCGATTTGCCCTCTGACGCTGGCACGAGCGTGTTCTCGAGCCGTGCCGTGCCGTGCCGTGCCGTGCCCTCAGACAGCTGGGGATTTGTCTGCCGTGTAGTCGGCCAGGCCAACAGGAGAATCTGACCCAGTGTCCTGGGTGGGCCGGTTGCCAGTCGTCCGCTCGTGGACAAGCCCAGACCCGGGCTGGCGTGTGTAGCTAGCCACGCTTGCCCGTCTGTCCTCCGTGGCCTGAGTGAGCGCAGATGAGAGAGGGCGCGGTTGCTTCGTCCGCTTTTTCTCCCCTCTTGCCCCGACGCGGGGAGCCGTCCAGCGGGGACTGGCTGGCCGGAGCCCGTGCTGGACACGGTGCTCCGTTGCTGTCCTGGAGGGCCCAGAGGATTGCTCGAGGTGTGCCCACCTGGCCCCTCCCCTGAGACAGGGGGCTGGGTGCCGTCAGGTTCTTTGTTGGCTCCCACTGGAACCCGGGGGTGGCGCTTGCCCAGTTCCTGGATCCTTTCACTTGCCCTTCCTCGTCGCCTTGCCGTGGGGAAAGGAAGGGCCGCTCTTAGCCCGCGAGCCCTAGCCCAGGAGGGGAGCCCACTTGGAGGGTGGGGTGGCACCGGGCCTTGTGCGGCCCGACGCAGGGGGACTGCCCGCCCTGGCCCGGCCCCGGGTCCACCAGTTTCCCTTGGTCGGGATTCTTTGTGGCCTAGGCACACGCCCGTGCTGTCTCCGCACTGACCCAGGTACCCACAGTAGGCGTTGGGAGGTGTGGGGCCGGGAGAACATTGCTCTGCCTGGTTCCCTAGGCGGAGGCAGGTGTGTTGCCTGAAAAGACCCTCACTCAGGCCAAGTGCGTTGTGTCTCTTCTTCTTCCGCAGACACCGAGCCCGGCACCCGGGAACCTCTGCCCGACGTGCCGACCTCACGCATGACCAAGAGAACCGAGCCTGACCATGGTAGGGGCCCGTGTGTCTTGTGTCCTCTGCCCCTGGGTGCCCGCTGGGTTGCCGGAGCTCCCTGAGCGAGAACGGGCTTTCCTCGTCCCTGCGGGACCGGGAAGCTGTCGCCAAGCGATTCCTCGTCCCGAAACGCTGGCCTGTGCTCTGGAGCCGTGGTGGCGTCCTCGGCTCTCTGCCCAGGAAGGATGTGCTTCCTGGGGAGAGAGGGGCCGCAGTGCGAGTCAGGTGCTCCGAGATGGGGCCGTGTGTCCTCCCGGGTTCTCTCATTGGCTGCACGCTGCCTGGGGCTGCCTGCAAGTTGTCCGTTTCGTGCCCTTGTGGCCTCCTAACCCGTCTGGGAGGGGGGTGTGCTTCCTGTTCGCCACGTCTGCTCCTGCCGTGACCCCGTCTGGTGCAACACTCCCAGCCAGCATGCCCTGAGTTTCCACGGAGGCTGCGAGTGCAGAAGCCTCATGGGACCCGGCGTGGAGTGCCCCACTGCCCCTGGTGGCCCAGTGTGCGCAGGGGCCTTAGGCGCGGGCACCTTGGGCTCCGCAAGGATGGTTCTCTGTGCCTCTGCTTCTCCTGAGACGTCCTTGCCTTCCTCTTGGCTTTGGCTGGTCTCCGAGCAGAGCTCCCGGGGCAGCGTCCAGGAGGCGTGGCGGCTGCCTGAGGACCAGGCAGGCATCGATTTGCCCTCTGACGCTGGCACGAGCGTGTTCTCGAGCCGTGCCGTGCCGTGCCGTGCCGTGCCGTGCCCTCAGACAGCTGGGGATTTGTCTGCCGTGTAGTCGGCCAGGCCAACAGGAGAATCGGCCGGTTGCCAGTCGTCCGCTCGTGGACAAGCCCAGACCCGGGCTGGCGTGTGTAGCTAGCCACGCTTGCCCGTCTGTCCTCCGTGGCCTGAGTGAGCGCAGATGAGAGAGGGCGCGGTTGCTTCGTCCGCTCTTTCTCCTCTCTTGCCCCGACGCGGGGAGCCGTCCAGCGGGGACTGGCTGGCCGGAGCCCGTGCTGGACACGGTGCTCCGTTGCTGTCCTGGAGGGCCCAGAGGATTGCTCGAGGTGTGCCCACCTGGCCCCTCCCCTGAGACAGGGGGCTGGGTGCCGTCAGGTTCTTTGTTGGCTCCCACTGGAACCCGGGGGTGGCGCTTGCCCAGTTCCTGGATCCTTTCACTTGCCCTTCCTCGTCGCCTTGCCGTGGGGAAAGGAAGGGCCGCTCTTAGCCCGCGAGCCCTAGCCCAGGAGGGGAGCCCACTTGGAGGGTGGGGTGGCACCGGGCCTTGTGCGGCCCGACGCAGGGGGACTGCCCGCCCTGGCCCGGCCCCGGGTCCACCAGTTTCCCTTGGTCGGGATTCTTTGTGGCCTAGGCACACGCCCGTGCTGTCTCCGCACTGACCCAGGTACCCACAGTAGGCGTTGGGAGGTGTGGGGCCGGGAGAACATTGCTCTGCCTGGTTCCCTAGGCGGAGGCAGGTGTGTTGCCTGAAAAGACCCTCACTCAGGCCAAGTGCGTTGTGTCTCTTCTTCTTCCGCAGACACCGAGCCCGGCACCCGGGAACCTCTGCCCGACGTGCCGACCTCACGCATGACCAAGAGAACCGAGCCTGACCATGGTAGGGGCCCGTGTGTCTTGTGTCCTCTGCCCCTGGGTGCCCGCTGGGTTGCCGGAGCTCCCTGAGCGAGAACGGGCTTTCCTCGTCCCTGCGGGACCGGGAAGCTGTCGCCAAGCGATTCCTCGTCCCGAAACGCTGGCCTGTGCTCTGGAGCCGTGGTGGCGTCCTCGGCTCTCTGCCCAGGAAGGATGTGCTTCCTGGGGAGAGAGGGGCCGCAGTGCGAGTCAGGTGCTCCGAGATGGGGCCGTGTGTCCTCCCGGGTTCTCTCATTGGCTGCACGCTGCCTGGGGCTGTCTGCAAGTTGTCCGTTTCGTGCCCTTGTGGCCTCCTAACCCGTCTGGGAGGGGGGTGTGCTTCCTGTTCGCCACGTCTGCTCCTGCCGTGACCCCGTCTGGTGCAACACTCCCAGCCAGCATGCCCTGAGTTTCCACGGAGGCTGCGAGTGCAGAAGCCTCATGGGACCCGGCGTGGAGTGCCCCACTGCCCCTGGTGGCCCAGTGTGCGCAGGGGCCTTAGGCGCGGGCACCTTGGGCTCCGCAAGGATGGTTCTCTGTGCCTCTGCTTCTCCTGAGACGTCCTTGCCTTCCTCTTGGCTTTGGCTGGTCTCCGAGCTCCCGGGGCAGCGTCCAGGAGGCGTGGCGGCTGCCTGAGGACCAGGCAGGCATCGATTTGCCCTCTGACGCTGGCACGAGCGTGTTCTCGAGCCGTGCCATGCCGTGCCGTGCCGTGCCCTCAGACAGCTGGGGATTTGTCTGCCGTGTAGTCGGCCAGGCCAACAGGAGAATCTGACCCAGTGCCCTGGGTGGGCCGGTTGCCAGTCGTCCGCTCGTGGACAAGCCCAGACCCGGGCTGGCGTGTGTAGCTAGCCACGCTTGCCCGTCTGTCCTCCGTGGCCTGAGTGAGCGCAGATGAGAGAGGGCGCGGTTGCTTCGTCCGCTCTTTCTCCCCTCTTGCCCCGACGCGGGGAGCCGTCCAGCGGGGACTGGCTGGCCGGAGCCCGTGCTGGACACGGTGCTCCGTTGCTGTCCTGGAGGGCCCAGAGGATTGCTCGAGGTGTGCCCACCTGGCCCCTCCCCTGAGACAGGGGGCTGGGTGCCGTCAGGTTCTTTGTTGGCTCCCACTGGAACCCGGGGGTGGCGCTTGCCCAGTTCCTGAATCCTTTCACTTGCCCTTCTTCGTCGCCTTGCCGTGGGGAAAGGAAGGGCCGCTCTTAGCCCGCGAGCCCTAGCCCAGGAGGGGAGCCCACTTGGAGGGTGGGGTGGCACCGGGCCTTGTGCGGCCCGACGCAGGGGGACTGCCCGCCCTGGCCCGGCCCCGGGTCCACCAGTTTCCCTTGGTCGGGATTCTTTGTGGCCTAGGCACACGCCCGTGCTGTCTCCGCACTGACCCAGGTACCCACAGTAGGCGTTGGGAGGTGTGGGGCCGGGAGAACATTGCTCTGCCTGGTTCCCTAGGCGGAGGCAGGTGTGTTGCCTGAAAAGACCCTCACTCAGGCCAAGTGCGTTGTGTCTCTTCTTCTTCCGCAGACACCGAGCCCGGCACCCGGGAACCTCTGCCCGACGTGCCGACCTCACGCATGACCAAGAGAACCGAGCCTGACCATGGTAGGGGCCCGTGTGTCTTGTGTCCTCTGCCCCTGGGTGCCCGCTGGGTTGCCGGAGCTCCCTGAGCGAGAACGGGCTTTCCTCGTCCCTGCGGGACCGGGAAGCTGTCGCCAAGCGATTCCTCGTCCCGAAACGCTGGCCTGTGCTCTGGAGCCGTGGTGGCGTCCTCGGCTCTCTGCCCAGGAAGGATGTGCTTCCTGGGGAGAGAGGGGCCGCAGTGCGAGTCAGGTGCTCCGAGATGGGGCCGTGTGTCCTCCCGGGTTCTCTCATTGGCTGCACGCTGCCTGGGGCTGTCTGCAAGTTGTCCGTTTCGTGCCCTTGTGGCCTCCTAACCCGTCTGGGAGGGGGGTGTGCTTCCTGTTCGCCACGTCTGCTCCTGCCGTGACCCCGTCTGGTGCAACACTCCCAGCCAGCATGCCCTGAGTTTCCACGGAGGCTGCGAGTGCAGAAGC